CACACACACACACACACACACACACACACACACACACACACGCACACACACACGAAAGTACACCCCACGCCTTGTTTTGCGTCATCATTGTAGATGATTCAGCCAAAATTTCGTCGAAATTTCTGCATGAAAAACTGACAACGACTGCCGTTGCTGCTGTTGTTGGTTTTTGTGCGCTGCCAACCAAATCCACCACCACCACCACCAGCCCTCCTTCCTCGCTCGCTTCCATCACAGGTACGCACGTATGCACATACGCGACACTGGGCGTGCCTGCCTACTTGCGCTTTGGTTGGGGCGGGCCTGATCTTGCCTTGCTGCGTTCACGCTCTCCGACGGGTCTTTCTCTTTTGGGAGTGAGGGGGGGAATTAATTAATTCATGGAAGCAAGGATCAGCAGGTGCTCTGACGTTCCATTTCTTTTCGCGTGGCTCACCTCCGCTGGCGATTGCTTGTTGCCTCGTGTGCTGTGTTGTTGTTGTTGTTGTGGATCCCATCGGTACAATAGTGGTTGTGTTCAGTGGCAGCGTGCGTGGCTTGTGGAACGTCTTTGTGCTGCTAGGCTCACCTCGCAGCTGAACCCCACACTGCAGCACCATGTCGTTTTCTTCAAGTGAGTGAGCAAACGTTACCGTTCACGCCATGGAGGCGCTGTTGCTGGTGGTGTTGCACTCATGTTTTCTCTGGCGCATCGCTTGTGCTTACCCTTCCATCGTGCTACTACCTCCCACCCATGCACGCATATGCACACATATGCACACATATGAACACATGCATGCTCACAATCGCGCACACGCACAACCACAGATGCCGTCGAGTTTCGCGATGTCCCTGTCAAGTTTCTTGGCACTGGAGACATTCCACGCAACGCCAATGATGAACAGACCTTAATGGGCAACTTCCTGATGGAGAAGGCCAGCAAGAAGAAGTTACACGGATTTGCCAAAGAGATGCTGTTGTCCCTCAGCCCGAGGACGGGCCTGCTGTCTGCGTCGCCCAAATCAGGCGGCCAGAGCCTGCAAGTTGACCTCACCACCATCTCCGCCATCGCTGTTATGACATCGTGCGTTCCACCACTACTTTGACCTCACAACTGCGATCCATACTGCTTGTATGGATGCATGTATGCACGTTCGTGTGTGTGCGTTTGTGTGCGTGTGCGTGTGTAAGTGCGTGTGCGCTCTGCCTATAGCCATTGTTGGCTTGCTTGCATGCATCGTCTTGCCAGCCACGCTACGCCATGGCCCTTATGCATTACGTTGTCCTCACACACACATACACACACACACACACACGAACACACACGAACACACACACGAACACACAAAACATGCTTGTGGCTGCCACCGTGCGCAGGAAGTTTGCGTTTGTGGTGAGCGACGATGACGAGGCGCCGACGGCCACCATGTATGGGTTCCAGTTCAAACGACGCAATGATTCGGAGAGCAAGGCGTTTGTCGCGGCCCTGCGCAGGTGCAGTCTCGCTGAATCAACAACAGAGACCGTCCACCCATCGCGTGGTAGAGGGCGCGCCATGTCATACACAAGGTGCGTGTGCAGTTCGTGTTGTGGACACAAGGGTAGGCGTGGCTGTGCGCACTTGCGTGTGCACGTCGTCTTGAACACGACTCACTGCCGGCACAAATGCGCTCTAATAAGCCTGCGCTGCTCATCCTCAGAGACCTTAGCACACTCACGCCATTCACTTACACCACTCATTCACACGACCCACACGACCACAACTGACTCACACGACCACAACTCACTCACACGACCACAACTCACTCACACGACCACAACCCCTGCTGTGTGTTGGCAAACGAACGAACCATCAGCGGCACCAGCTCGCAGGCGCGACTGGCACTGGCGCGTGTGAGCGAAGATCGTCGTGACACCACCGTACGTGCTGCACCCTCGTCACCCCCAACGCCTGATCGCATCGCGCGTGGCGGGCCATGCTTCTTCGTTTGGTGTTGTGGAGAGGTGTTGTAGCTGTTGTGTTCGTCGTTTATGCAATTTCCTTGCTGATGACATTTTGCCGCTGAGCTCATCGGCACGTTATCGTGATGGTGTTGTGTGTGTGTGCACATGTGTCTCGTGTGTGTGCACATGTGTCTCGTGTGTGTTGTGTGTGTGTGCGTGTGCGTGTGCGTATGTGCGCTCGTGTGGGTGCAATTCCTTGCCTTCAGGTCCGTGACACGACCACGCAGGAGCTGGCTTCGCTCCAATCCAAGATTGCGGAACTCGAAACACAGGTGCACCCAGCAACACATCACCTCCACCTGCGCCCTTATGTACTACTGCATGCAGATGCACAACTTGCATCATGTCCAAATCGTGCGTGATGTGCATCTGTGTGCATCTGTGTGCATCTGCGTTCACATGTGTGTGTGTGTGTGTGTGTGTGTGTGCGCACGCGTGTGTGTGTGTCAGGTGACGGAGGAGCGGAACAAGGCGTCGGCAGCGGAAGTTGCAAAGTTGAGCGCAGACCTCGAGCGGTGAGTGGAGAACCCCTATGTGCATGTATGTGTTCATTGCTCGTTGGATTGTCTTGATCGTCTTGATCGTCTCATCGCCACCACCACTACCATCACCGCCACCCCTATCACCCTATCATCCCTTTCATCACCATTGCTCCACCACACATCCTCACCCCAAAAAAAAAAAAAAACCTTGTACAGGGCGAGTGCAGAGCGGGAGGCGGAGGCAGCGCGGTGCCAGGTCGAGAGCATCAGGAAGGAGATGGCCCTCGCCGCCGCTGACATGTCCTCAGAACTCGCACAGGTGCTAACCTTTGTGTGTTTGTGTGTGTGTGTGTGCGCGTGCGTGTGTGCGTGTGTGTGTTTGCACCAAGCCAGCAGCAACAACAACAGCAATAACGTTGCGCGTGTGTGCGTGCAGATGAAGATGAACTTCTCTGAGGACCGCGCGGAGCAGATTGTGGCCGAATTGGCGCTCATCAAGGGTGCACTCACCATCATCGAAGGCAACCAGGTGTGCAGCACCCTCTTATCTTGTCGTCTCTGCACCGGCCGCTTGCGTGGTTGCCCTACATATGTGTGCACGACAGCTGTAATACATCCGTGTGCTGGCAAGATTGCTGTGGTGCGCTCACTCCAACCCTCCCCCCCCCTTTTCGTGCTGACACTGAATCTCCCTTGTTTCCCACCCCGCCCCTTGCCCCAGCGTGGTCCGCGAACGCCCAAGAAGCGCGGCGGTGCCCCTGCTGCCTCGTCGTCCCCATCATCGTCGGCAGCGGCATCACGCGATGATCTCTGGACACGCGTCCAGCGCCTTGCACAGGTGTGGTGGTTGTGTGTTTGTGTGTGTTTGTTTTGTTTGTGTGTGTGTGTGTGCGTGTGTGCGTGTGATGTGAAAATGCTCGTGTGAAGTGTTAATGTGTTGCTTTGTTTGGTGTGGTGTGGTGTGGTGTGGTTTGTTTGTTGGTTTGTTCATTGCACTGTGCTGCAGAGAGGGACCGCAGTTGCTTTGCTCGTGCTAGTTGGCTCACTTTGCACTCGTGCTGCGATTACCATGGATGTCAGAAGCAGCAAGGTGATGGCGAGCAGAAAGAGGCAGGAGCAGAGGACGAGTCCACCTCGGAGCAGCGTGCCAACCAGAGCAACACCTCAAACCAACGGTACGCCACACCTCCCTGTTTACATGCGTCTCTTCCGCGCACATGATTCGTGTTTTACGCGTGCCACTTTTGGTATCACGCACTTCACCATTCACCACAACTCCTAACCCTGTCGTATACGCGACCACCACCACCACCACCACCACCACCACTACAGGCTGCTGTCCATTGCTCGTCGCGTCTCCTCCGTTGCCATTGATCCAGATGCCCTCGCCGCCGCATCGGAAGACAGGGTTTGTGACATGCACCCTCGTGCCTGTGTTTGGCACGTGTTTGGCGTGTGCCTGGGTTGTGTGCATGTGTGTGCGCGCGCGCGTTTGTTCATTCATGCATACGAGTGATGAACACGCCACGGCGCCGTTGTCTACCCCTTGTTAACACGCTGCCACTCACTCAAATGCACACAATCACGCACATGCACACACACGTGCACACACGCATGCGCATGCACACACTGACCTTTACGACTTGTGTGCAGGCTGGCGGGTACGAGGAGATGTCGCATGCCGAGCTTATTGCCGTTGTGAAGCGGCAGGAGCGAGAACTGCAGCAGCTGCGCGATGAGAACAAGCGCACGCAGGACCTCTCCCAACAGGTCCGCACGCATACACACATGATGGTGGTGGTGGTGGTGACCGTGAAGTCTTTGGTTCGTCCTGATGTGATCCCTTTCCTGTCATGCACCGCTATGCTGTGTGACTGCACCTCATGGTGATTGCATTTGTGCACATGTGCGCGTGTATGAACAGCTTGAAACGACGCAGGAGGAGAAATTGGAGCTGGAGCAGCAGATTCAGGACCTGCAAGAGGTGCGCTGGCTCTGCTTGCTCGCAATTCCCTCCCCGCCCTTTACTTGTAACCGTAACCTATCGCTCATATCCACGCGTTGTTCCATACTGCAACCCCTCATACACACACTCACACTCACTTATTCACACTCACTCATTCACGCTCACTTATTCACACTCACACACTCACTTATTCACACTCATTCACGCTCACGTACTCTCACTCACACTCCGTCATTCACAATCACCATAACCATGCCTCCCTCAACGTGCCGACTGTGTGCAGGAGCTGGATCACCTCGAGACAGAAAAGACGATTATGGCAGACACAATCGCTGGACTGAAGGCCATTTCCACAGATGGCGCCAGTGATGCCCGCACCGGCTCGTTCAGGTCTGAGTTGCGTCAAGGCACAACCGCCACAGGGGCGGCGGCCAGGTCGCGTGGCACAGGTGGTGCACAGGGCACAGGTGGTGCACGCACCACGGCCACCAATGCAGCAGCAGCAGTGTCGCGGCAGCCGCCGTCGTTTGATCGATTGGTTGGCAACGAGAGCAGAGTCACGGATGCCAACGACACGAGCGTTCGCACAGAGGCCCTGGAGGTTCGTGCTGATGCACTTGTGTTCCTGCATGCTGTGGTGGTGCTGCGGCCCCCCTTGTTGCTTTGTGCGTGTGCGTGTGGGTGAGCTTGAGCGTGTGTGCACGTGTGTGTGTGCACGTGTGTGTGTGTGTGTGTGCGTGTGTGTGTGCGTGTGTGTGTGCGTGTGTGTGTGCTCTCATCCTCCCCCCCCACCTCACATCACTCTACCCCGTTCTCCGTCTCGCCTTCAACTTCCCATCGCATGCTACCGCCAGGATCGGTTTGAGATGACGCTGCGCAAGCACAACGGCGGTCTTGGCTTCAGCATTGCTGGCGGTCGCGACTTTGAGGTCGATGAGGGCGATCCAAGCATCTACATCACCGCCATCGTGTCTGGTGGCGCCGCGCAGAAGGTAACACCACACACGTTCGCGTTGCAGTGGTTGTGGTTGTGGTTGTCGAAACTGCGTGGTGCCAGGCTGTTATGCTGTCATTATAGCTCGTGTGGTTGTGGCCTTTGCGGATGTGCTCGTGTACTGTTTGTGCGAGTCAAGCGCTGGTGCTGCTGCCATGGCGTGTCTGCACGTGTTTGCATCGTGTTGCTTGCTTGCATCCCTTGCTCACGTCACGGTTGTGTACACTCCCTCCATCGCTGACACGTAATCACCTCTGCTGCTGCTGCTGTCAATGATTGCAGGATGGCCGACTTCAAGCGGGCGACAAGATCCTGGCGGTGGACGGAACAGACATCTCGAATGTGCTGCACAAGGATGCTGTTGCCACGCTGCAGGCCACGTCAGACACGGTGAAGCTCGCCATTGCTCGCCTTGTGGACGTGCTGACGCCAAACGACACGCTCGCGTCACAGCACTCCCACCAACAGCAGCAGCAGCAGCAGCGAGCGGAGGGCAGCGTGAAGGTGAAGGAGGAGGAAGAGCAGGAGGAAGCTTCGCAGCAGCGGGAAGGAGGTGCTGCAGGTGCTAGTGTGCAGGGCACGATTCGCCAGCCTAGCAAAGAGAGCCAGGACACTGGGTCTTCGCAGCACATGGGCGACACAGCAGTGGCGATGGCGAGCACAAACCGCGTGGTGACGAACGGTGGGAGTGCGGCGTCCATCCCTGCTGCCGCCAGCAACACCAACAACGCTAATGTGGCCGGCAGCAACGGCGCAATCAACGGCCATGCAGTCACAGCGAAGCCATCGGAGATTCCCCGCCCAAACAGCGACCTCATCTCGGTCAGTGTGACACAGAGAGAGTGCGTGTTCATGTGTGTGTATGTGCTCATGTGTGCTCATGTTCGTGCGAATGCTCATTGTGTGTGTGTGTGTGTGAGCGTGTTCATGTGTGTGTGCATGTGCGCACGTCTGCGTGGCGCTTGCTCACGTGCAACTGCATTGCCGCTTGAACGTTGATTGTGCGCTGTTTGGCTGCCGTTGCTGTGTGCTACAGCCTCGCCGTGATTCACAGAGCGGCGCCTCACAGCAAGAGCTGCAACAGAGACAGCAGCAGCAACAGCAACAGCAACAGCAACAAGACCAGCCTCTTGCTGATGGCGATGCAAGCGCTTTTGAAGAGGAGGTGATTGACATCAGCTTCGACAAGCGTGCAGACGGCCTCGGCTTCAGCATTGCCGGCGGCAGAGACCACCCGGTCGAGGTGAGACAAACTGTGGTGGTGGTGGTGGTGGTGGTGGTGAAGATAGTGTGTGTGTTAGTGTTTGTGATTGTGTGTGTGTTCGTGTTCGTGTGTGTGTATGTGCGTTTGTGTGTGTGTGTGTCTGTGTATGTGTGTGTGCTTACCACACTCCTGGGCTGCTTGTGCACAAACTTGCGTCACTCATGAGTGTGCTGCTGAAAACGGGCGCTTGCGTGTGGGTTCAAACGCAGGAGGGAGATAACTTCATGTACGTGACAGCGATTGTGCCTGGGAGCGCCGCTGACGACGACGGCCGGCTGAAGGTCGGCGACAAGTTGCTGATGATCAACGGCGCAGATGTCACGGACATGACGCACGCAGACGTTGTGCAGCTGCTCTCGGTACGGTGAACCATGGGCACATTGCTCTATTTGTGGATTGGTTTTCATGTTTCGCACAGGATGCAGTGTGCCCAATGTCTTTGCTCAAACACACACACACACACAATCAACACACACAATCAACACACACAATCAACACACACAATCAACACACACACACAATCAACACACACACGCACACACAAAATCAATACATGCTCGCACACGTTCACAATCCTCAACCCTCTCCATGCAGACACGGAGCAGGGTTGAACTGCGTGTGTCGCGGCTGCCCGACGAACTGCTTGCACCAGAGACGACAGAGGTGCTGCTTGACATCCGCTTGCATCGCCACGAGGGCGGGTTTGGGTTCAGCATTGCTGGCGGCACGGATCTCCCGGTTGCCGGCGATGACACAGCCATTTACATCACCCACATTGTTCCGGACTCTGCTGCCGATCGCGATGGCCGCCTGCAGATTGGAGACAGGGTGAGTCTGGTGTGCGTGTGTGCGTTCTTTGTGTTCTGTGTATTCTGTGTATATGTGTGTGTATACGTGTGTATATGTGTGTATGCTTGTGTGTTGTGTGTGTGTGTGTTTTGTTTTTGTTTTGGGTGGCTATCGCCAGATGCCCTGCCGTTTTGCTTGGCTATCTTTGACCTTCAACAGCGCCACATACCTCTGTTGCTCACCTCTCCATCATCCTTTTCAAAACAACCCCGCTGATGCTTTCTGCAGCTGCTGGAGGTGAATGGGCTGAGTGTTGTGAATGTGGAGCACGCCGTTGCTGCGGAGGCCATCAGGAACAGTGGCGAATATGTCGACATCATCGTTGCCCGCATCACTGAGCAAGTGGAGGTGAGTTTGCCTTGCTCTATCCTGGTGATAGCGTACATGTGCGTGTGCGTGTGTGTGTGTGCATGCGTGTGTGCTGTCCTAGTTGTTCCACGAGATCAATGAAACACAACACTCAACGTTGCCACATACACACATACACATACACACATTTGCTGCCACAGGAGACACTTGAGATTGAGTTTGAGCGCGGAGCGGGCGGACTTGGCTTCAGCATCGCCGGTGGAATTGACGACCCAGAGAACGCGCACGACCCAAGCATCTACGTTGTCGAGGTGTGCACTTGAGCTGAGACGGAGGAGGAGGGGGCGGGGGAGATGAATTGGTGGTCTTGTTCATGGATGCATCGTGTCTTGTATGTTCATTTTTTCAAGGGTGGGTCCATTTGTGTATCTATTCATGTGGACACCAGACGTCTTCCCGCAAGTTTCATGTTCAAAGCGTACACGCACACGTGTATGCAATCGCACAAACACACGCTCACGCACATGACCATGCACACACGCTCTCTCTCCCTCTCTCTCTGTCCCTCACGCTCGCTCACTCACTCACTCACCTGTACACTCGCACGCACACATGCGTAGATTATCCCGAATGCCTCTGCTGATCGCGATGGGCGACTGCGAAAGGGCGATCGCATCTTGGAGGTGAACGGAGAGTCGTGCGAACAAGTCACGCACAGCGAGGCCGTGCAGCTGCTGCAGGCTGACACGCCCACGGTGCGGCTGCTCGTGTCGCGATTGGTGGACGTGACGGAGACGACGTTCAAGGTGGAGGAGGAGATTGTGGACGTGGAGCTGGACAAGTCACCCACATACGGCCTTGGCTTCAGCATCGCTGGCGGCGTTGGTGCCGAGATTGAGGTGCGTGCTCGTGCGTGCGTGTGTTTTCTTGGTTCGTTGCGAATGTTGTGTTTGTTGTCGCTGTTGCGACTGTTGTAGTTCTTGTGGCTGTTTTAAGGCCACTTGTTAAGCTGCAAAGCCCTCTTCATGCCTTTGTTTGGCTGATTCTCACCGCAACATCGTGCTGGTGATGATGCAATGCAGGAGGGTGACGCTGGGATTTACGTGAGCGACATCACGCCCGAGGGCCCTGCCAGTGCCATGGACAAGCTTCGCTTTGGCGATCGCGTGAGTCACATGCGTGCACGTGTGTGTGCGTGTATCTGGACGTGCGCGTGTACTTGTGGGGGGGGGGTGTGGTTCCGTGTGTTTATGCATACGGGTGTGTGTGTGTGTGTGTGTGTGTGTGTGTGTGTGTGTGTGTGTGTGTGTGTGTGTGTGTGTGTGTGTGTGTGGTTCCGTGTGTGTGTGTGTGTGTGTGTGGTGTGGTTCCGTGTGTTTATGCATACGTCTGTGTGTGTGTGTGTGTTGGGCCGAAAAACCAACACCAACCAGGCGTCACAATCATCCCTTGCCTTCCACTGCGTCTGCCACGTCCCTCTACTCACGTGTGATGCCTGCGCGTGCTGTTGGTGCACCCCACCCCCCTCCGCCCAACCACCAAACCATGACCACATCAGCTGCTCGAGGTCAACAGCATTCCCTTGGACGGCGTGACCCACGATGAGGCCGTGGACATCTTGCGAGCGTGTGCACAGCACGTTCGCCTCAAAGTCCTGCGCGTCCCACAAGACATGACTGAGGACGGCGAGGTGCGTGTGTTTGTGTTTGCATGTGTATGTGGATGTATGTATGTATGTATGTATGTATGTATGTATGTATGTATGTATATATATATATATGTATGTATGTATGTATGTATGTATGTATGTATGTATGTATGTATGTATGTATGTATGTATGTATGTATGTATGTGTGTGTCTGTGCATGTGTGTGTGTGCTTTTAGATATCCGGATCATAGTGAGCGTTGACTTACTGGCACGCTTGCTGCTACTTCCACACTGCCGTTGCCACGACAGATTCTTGTGAACATCACACTGCGTAAGCACGACGGCGGGTTTGGGTTCAGCATCGCTGGCGGCACGGATGCCCCTGTTGAAGAAGGCGACTATGGCATCTACGTCACCACCATCATTGAAGGCGGCGCCGCGTACCTTGATGGCAACCTGCAGATTGGCGACAGGGTGCGATGCTGTGCAGTGCTGTGCTGTGCTGTCCAGGCTAGCTGCGTTGAAGGAAGATGTTTGCTTCTTCTCTCTCCTCTCCCTGTCCATCTCCCAGTTTGCGTGTCGACGTGCTCACATGAAACACACACTCACACATGAAACACACACACACACACATTCACACGCGCACACACACATTCACACACGCACACACACACATTCACACATTCACACACACATTCACACATATCAGATCATCTTCGCCAACGGTGTGGAGCTGACTGAGGCGGCGCATTCAGATTGCGTGCGCGTGCTGCAGAACGCCGGAGACGAAGTGAAGCTTGTTGTGTCTCGCATACCGTTTGACGAAACACAAGAGGTGCGTTGCAAGATGCATGGCCGATAGCGTTGGCGTCGACTGTTTCCATGTGTGTGTGTGTGTGTGTGTGTGTGTGTGTGTGTGTGTGTGTGTGTGTTTTGTTTGTTTCTTTATGCCTCGGTTTGCAGCGGTTTGGTGTGTAGGCTTTAACGCTGGTCGAATAAGCTGAGTGTTATCGTCGCTAGCTGGAATGTAGTCCTCAGCGCTCATGAAGAAGTTGCACATGCCATCACACTATCACAATTTCCTAGGGCGACTTGTTCCAGGAGGAAACCACCTAGTTGCGGGATTGTGTCTTGCCCCCTTGTCCCCCCCCCCCTGCACATGCTTGTCGTTAGTCAGATAACCTCAACACCAGCATCCTCACACACACACACACACACACACACACACACACACACACACACACACGCACACACACACACACACACACACACACACACACACACACACACATACCCACGCGCGCCAATGTCGATGACGCTCCAATGCTGTTTTGATTGTACTTTGATGGAGAGCGCTCGCTGTATGTTGAATTCCCCCTCCTATTTCCTCTGTTGCCGTGATGTGCCACACGACCCACGCTTTCCTGAGGTTGTCACATCATCGTTGTGTTACCACTGCCTTTGGCCATCACTCAACATGATGCTTGCCTCCTTTCGTTTGCTTTTCGTAGCTTTTCTTTTCGTTGGGTGCGTGCGTGTCTCGCTACCCCTTTTTGAACCTTGCATGCTCGTCTGCCATTTGTTGTGCTGCTGTCGGCAGCGTTGGGATGTCACAACCATAGAAGACGACCTGATTCTCAATGGTGTGGTGGCTGTGCTACTGACGACCAGTCGATATTTGTGATGTGACATGATGTACCTCTTTTTCACCACACACACACACACACACGAGCGGTTGATGATGAGCCGCACCCGCTCTCCCGCCAGCTCCCATCTCACATTTGTTGATGCTTCTTTCTTGTGAACCGTTATGGCTGTGTATTGATGAACGAGAGCGAGAGCATACACTGCCATCGCGCACAAAGGACCAGACAGCACCAAAAGACAAACACCACATTTCCCCCATCATGCACGCTTACTTCTTCTGCTTCTTGTCAACAGCAGCAGCAGAAGCAATGAGGTCTTCGCGGCGCTTGGCGAGGCGGTCTGCACGGCGCTGGCGGGCGGCCTTGTTGCGCTGGCGGCGGGCCTCGGCCTGGTCTGCGAGCAGCTTCTGGCGGGCGGCTTCTGCCTTGCGCTTGAAGATGTACTCCATAAGCACACGCTTGTTCTACAGGGGGCGAGGGGGTGAAAACAAGACAAGTTGGACACAAACGCATGTGAGCGCGTGAGCATGCGAGTTTGTGGGTATGAGAGAAACACGACACAACACGGAAAAGAGTGTGTACGGCAACAACGCAAAAGCACACACACACACACACACACACAAACTTCACGTAAACCATCGCACACCTGGAACAACCCGACTACTCAACGAACACACATGCACGCACGCACGCAAACCAGCAGCTCTGACTGCGGTGACGCACCTTGAACACGTTACCCTTGCTCTTGAGGTAGAGCTCGTGGTAGAGGTGGGAGTCGATCTTCTTGGTGCCGCGGTACTTCTTCAGAAGACGGCGAAGGACACGCTGGCGCCGCATCCACAGGACCTTCACAGGCATACGGGCGTTGGCGGTACCCTTACGCTTACCTGTGTGTGAAGGGTGACAAGAGGAACAAGGTGGTTATCGTCAGTGGCAGCGAAGGGACGATGCGCACACCAGGGAGAAGTAGATAGGTGCAGTTCAAGCGGCAGCGTGGCGCGTGTCATGTCACAGAAGCATGTGCGAGTCGCAAGTCACAGCACGAGCACATCAAAAACCCTGTGATCAACTGACCACCTCCCATCAAACCTCACACAAACATGTATCACGCCGCACCATGGCCTGTGTGGCGGCCCTTCCGCTTGGCCTCGAGGTGACGCTGTGCGCGGGAGCGGGAGTGCACAATCTGGGGCTTCTTGATGATGAGGCCATCCTTGATGAGCTTGCGCACGCTCTTGCGGCTGTTGGCGTTGGAGATCTCTGTAACCTCGTTGGGGTCAATCCAGATCTTGCGGCGGCCAACCTTGAGCACGCTGGCGGCCAACCTCTGCAGAGAGCCATGCACAGGACCCAACACGTGTGTTGTGTGGCGTGGATTGTGAGTTGTGTGTGTGTGTGTGTGTGTGCGTGTGTTGTACGCAGCACGTGCGTCTGTGGACACGAACGCTTGTTTGCGCCTGTTGTGTGTGTGTGTGTGCGTGTGGAACACAGGCAGCGCAGGTGGTTACGCCATAAGCGGTGCGAGCACGCGTGTCTTGTTGTGACTGAGTGTTAGGTCGCTCGTACCTTCTGCAAGCGGCAGTTCACCATCTTCGGTATGAAAGAAGAAGAAGCCGGCGAAGGATAAGGTGAATAATGACACAGGGTGTATGCGTGTGCGTGTGTGTGAGAGTGTGTGTGCGTGTGCGTGTGTGAGTGGGTGTAAAAGTGAGTGAGTGTGTGTACAAGTGAGTGAGTGGGTGTGAAGGTCGAGCACATGCAGGCACAGAAGAACAAAGTTGTTTGGCAGCAGTGGCTGTGCTGTGTGTGCCACATGCGCGCTGGTGGCTGTGGGGGTTCTCGGTCTGCAAACAGGTCACGCCAGTGACTGTTGGCTCTCTCCAAGGTGTGTGGGTCGTCAGCAAGGCCGCCATCATCGATTCGCTGGATCCCCTTCCTTCCCCACGATGTGCCAGCAGCCATGTGCGGCTGCGTCCACAGCACGCACACAGCACGCACACGCACACAGCACGCACACGCACGCAGCACGCATGCGCCATCCACCCAGCACCACATATCCACACCATCCGCACCACACACACACGCACCTTCAGCTGATGCACACGCGATGTTGGGGGAGATGGAAAGGAAAAAGGCAGATGCGGTGCAGCGGTACTCGGTACTTGTGATGCAGGTACCACAGCAGAATTTCTATTGTGGCGAAAACGCGCAGTTCTTTCACCAACTATCGACGGCTGTGTACTGGAACTGAATTCAGTACTCGCCTTTTCAAAATGCGCGGCACAACACCCAGGTGACTGCCGTTGTGGAGGATTTGACGCTGTTTTCTGCAGATATTCGACAGGCTGGGCGAAGCAAGCAAGCAAGCAAGCAAGCAGGAAGACAGCAGCAGTGGCGCTGGTGATGAGGGTGTGTGTGGGCGTGTGCGCTCCAAGCACTGGTGAGGATGGAAGGAGCGAGTGAGAGTGCGCGAGCGGGGCGCGAGAGAGCGATGTGAATATGGCACGATGTCGTGTGGGACTCCAAGACACGCAGCAGGCTCACCGCTACTGGTTGCTTTTCAGTGCATGTCACACTTGCTTCACTCCCTCGCTGGCTCTGGCTGGTTTGCTTGTGTGTTTTCCTTGGTTCTCACCTTGTTCTTCCTTGTTTGCCATCGGCTGTCGGTTCTGCAGGTTTTGAGTTTGAAGTGGACTTGTTAGTTCGGGACGTGTTCGTTGAGCTGAGACAGTATGCCCGCGCCAACGGCCTTGAGGTGCGTATACACACACACACACACATACACACACATACACACATACACACGCTGCGTTGCCACTGCTTCTGTTTTCGTTTGGTGCTGTTCTTCGGGGCGTTGCAGATGCAGCGTTTGTTGAAATTCAATGACCGACCTCGCATGCTTGTGTCTCGTCTATGTTCGCTGCCCAGGTGACGTTCCTGCTGCTCTCGGGCCAAGGCGGCCGCTTCGAGGACTCGCCTGGTTCATGGCAGACTGTGTGTGATCGCCTGGAGGAGATTGAAGCCTCTGACAGCCCAATCACGCTGCTGGTGAGTCCAAAACTGCGAGGGCCACCGGAGTGCATTGGACAACGTGCGTCGCGCGCCTGGCAGTTGTGTTTCCTCTTGTGCCTATGTGCAGTGTCGCTGTATTCAAACCCTCATGTGGTGTGGTGGTATGGCATGGTGTGTTTCCTGTGTTGTTTGGCCTCCAGCTTCTGACGGGGCAAGACTGGGGACGTCCCTTGCCGCCAATGGTGATCCCAAAGGACCACGAGCACCTGTACAACGCAGACCACCTACAGCAGTTCTACGTGTTCGACACCAACCACGACGCGTGGCACCTTGCGTCCGAGAACCTGTGCGTGGCTCGCTTCAGCCGCTCAAGCCTGCCTGCTTGCCCATCGCTGCCGTTTGTCTCTACTTTGTTCATGACGCTTGTCGACTGGGATCTTGCATTCCAACAGCCATGTTCGCTTCTCACACAGTTGCATTTTTGTGTATGCGTGCGTACGTGTGTGCGTGTATGCGTGTATGCCTGTGTATGCCTGTGTGTGCATGTATGTCTGTGTATGCCTGTGTGTGCATGTGTATGCATGTGTATGCCTGTGTGTGCATGTGTGCTCGTGTGTGTATGCTTCTGTCACGGTTATGGCACGCAGAGATTCATTGGATGATGTGGTCAAGACCATGCAGCCCCCTTCAGGTTGGTGGGGAGGAACGTGGACGTACACGCTCCCATGTGTGCGTGCTGTGACGCTGCAGTGCATCAGTGCTCTGACCAGTGTACAATGAAGCACAGCTCCGCCATTCAGCCAAGCTCACCATGCAGCGAACCATCGTCTTGCAACTCCTGCTGTCGATTGAACAACCACAGGGCTGGAGCACGTGTGCCGCATGTTCCTGACAGAGCGCAAGACCAAGAGCTTCTGGATTGCAAGAAAGGTCGCCAGTGCCTCTTCGCTCGCACAGGACAAGGTGTGCGTGTGCGCGTGCGTGCGTGTGTGAATCCCTGTGTGCTCGTGCGTAAGATAGCACGCCTCATCCTTGATTCTTGCAGTTCCCTCACGCTGCCCACCTCCTTCTGCGACATAGGTTGCTGCACTGGGTCGCCTGCTGCCGCGGTCATCATCCGGTGACGTCGATGCGGAACGGCTGCGACGCGCAGATGCTGCACACAACAACGTCTGTTTGTCGGCGTATGTGTGTGTGTGTGTGTGTGTGTGTGTGTGTCCCCGTCTGTATGCGTCTCTCAGTGCTTGTGACATCACTTTATGTTTGACGAAGGCACTCCTCTTTCTCCGTTGCGCGTCTCTGACCCTTCCCCTCCTCCCAATCCCCTTTCACTCCGTTGCTCCCACAAACCCTCACACAACCCCATCCACACCACATGCACGTGACCTCGCGCGCACGCGTGTGTAGGCTGCGGCCGTGCTGCCGAAGAGCAAGCGGCGCCTGCTTGAGGTTGACGTGAGCGCATGCGAGAGCCCAGGCGAGATGGAGAGCGCCATTGACGCGTACAGGAGCGAGCTTCGTCGCGTCATGTTCATGTTCCTTCAGCGCTACATCAACGCCGTTGTCCAACAAACAGACGTGCGTTCTGCTAGACTACGTGTGCTAGTGTGTGTGTGTGTGTGCTAATGTGTGTGTGCTAGTGTGTATGTGTGCTAGTGTGTGTGTGTGTGTGTGTGTGTGTGTGTGTGCGCGCCGCCAATGTTCTTCCTCTCTTCCCGCTTGCCTTCTTCCACCCCCCTCGCCTTTTCCACTCACCCACCACCACCACCACCACCACCACCACCCATCCCTTGTCCTTTGCTGGTGTGCCTGTGTGTGTGATCAGGCTGGTGCGCCTGTGCGCGGGACGGTTGACACGGAGCACCACCAGACGCTGCTGCGGCACCGCGCTGACCGCCACCCCATGCGCGAGGACCTCATCGCCCAGGTCATCAAGTTCACAAACTTCGCCAGGGAGATGGAGGTACCCCGTGTTTGCTTGTTTGTTTGGTGTGTATTGCTTGCTTGCTTACGTGTAGCATAGTGTGTGTGTGTGTGTGTGCGTGTGCGTGTGTGTTTGCTTGCTTGCTTGTGCGCAGTGTGTTTGCGTGTTTGCGTGTTTGCTTGCTTGCTTGTGCGCAGTGTGTTTGCGTGTGCGTGTGTGCTTGCCTTCGTCTTCAGTATCACTTATGCCTGCCTGGTTTGTCCTTCCATCACCCACCCCCTGCCGTTCCTCGTCGTGTGCCAGGGGTCTCCCTCTGCGTCGAGTTTCCTGGTGCTCCACGGGCATTCGTGCATCGGCAAGTCCACGCTTGTCGCCCACGCCGTCCGCCGCGGCCTCGTCTCAGCAAAAGGTGCGCAGTGGTGGCAGTGATGGCAGTGGTGGGCAGACGTTGGGCTGCTGGAAGGTGATGAGCAAGACCGCACGCACACAGACACAATCACACACACATAGCACCACACACACACATTCAAGTGCACACACAGAATGACACACACATACACACACGCTCACATGTTCCCTGTGGTGCACGCGTAGGCACGGTTGCTGTGACGCGGTTCATTGGGCGCGGGTGCCAGAGCCAGCGGCTGACGCTGCGCCGGCTGCTGCACAGCATCAACGAGGAGCTCTCGCGCGAATACAGGCGCGAGGCAGCCACCGCCGTCGCCGCAATCGACCAGTCAGTCAGCGTGTGTGTGTGTGTGTGTGTGTGTGTGTGTGTTGAGGGGTTGTAGTTGGTGTGGGACACTGGAGATGCCGGGCTCCCTCGTACTCACCGCACAAGTGTGTGTACGTGCGCAGGGAGATTCAACAAGCAGAGGTGGAGCTGGCGGCTCTGGAGGAGCAAGCGCGAGAAGAGGTAAGCCATACGAATGACATTCAGCCGTCGCACACACACACACACATCTTGTCCAACTCACAACAGACGTGCAGACACACATGCCACTCACAACACAGCTCACACCACCTTTTTCTGGTGAATGTCATGTTGTTCGCCCGTGGGCCAGCGTGCCGCGGGTGCGGAGGTGGTGATCCCGGAGTGGGAGTACGAAACGCTTGACCAGCTCCGCGCCACACGCTCGCTCCTCAAATACAACAGCGACACACTCGGCCCAGCCGCATCGCAGTTCCAAAAGGTGGCCATGTGCCATGCTTGCTTGATGGACGGGTGTCTTGCACAGTGGATGAGTTGATAGGTGGCTTGGTTGCTTGGCTCAGTGGATGGTGGATTGGCTGCTTGGCAGTTTTGTTTTTCTCTCTCCATCTTCTTCGTTGCGCTGTTTCAGCGCGTATGAGGTATAACGCACACGTGTTGAGTTGTTGATGGAACTCTACTGACGCTCGCCACCCACGCCCTCTCACCCCTCGGCGTGCACATGACGCCGCAATCCCATACTCACCCTTGTCTCCGCTTTGTTACCACCGCTACCACTGAGCAGAAGCTACAGCTTGCCTCTGCGAAGCGGCCGCTGTTCCTGGTGCTGTGCAACCTCGACCGCCTGGACGAGCCAGACCTCGCAGAGAAGCTCGACTGGCTCCCCATGGAGGTGCACCCATCATAATGGTGGTGGTGGTGATGATGGTGGTGGTGGGTGGTGGTGGTCGTGGTGGTGATGGTGGTGGTGATGGTGGTGGTGTGGATGGGCGACTGTACTCTGATTCCTGCTCCATGTCTCATGCCATCAATCGCACCCGCTATGTTCCGCACCTGTTCCACATGAGCTCACCCTGTGCACACGCGCGTGTGTTTGCAGCTCCCAAAGCATGTGCGAGTCCTCATTACGACAGAGCAAGGGCCTGTCTTTGACGCGCTGCGGGCACACGTACTCGATCCATTCTGCTTCGTGGAGGTGCGTACCATCGCAACTGGTGAAGGCTTTGTCTGCATGGAACGACTGTCACTCACTCACTCACTCACTCACTCACTCACTCACTCACACACTGAACACTGAACACCCTTACTCGCTCACTTACTCACTCACATTACGCACACTGACTCACTCACTCACTCACTCACTCACTCACTCATTCACTCACTCACTCACTCACTCACTCACTCACTCATTCACTGAACACTCAAACACACCCACTGAACACTCTCACACACTCTCTCACTTGCACTCGTACACAGGTGCCCGATTTGGACTTTGTGGACAACGACACGACGTTTGACAAGTGGCAGGAGAAGCACTCGACGACGGATGCGCAGGGCCGGCTGCTGCTGTCCACCATCCAGGACGCCAACCACCCGCTGTACACGCAGCTGCTGCTCGCAGAGGCGTCGCGATGGCGCTCGTTTGACAGCCCACAGCGCCTCAAGCGCCAGATTCCGCGCAGCAAAGGCAGCCCGCAGGACACGCTCACCAAGCACGTCGCTGTCATGTGTAAGCGGTACCCATGCGAGGACATTGTGCATCGAATCCTCGCGTACATTACCTTTTTCACAGAGCACCCGCTGTCGGAGACGGAGTTGTTGGACGTGCTGTCGCTGGACAACATTCTGCTGGACCTGTTTGCCACCCACCTCGGCTGCACGCCGTGTGGCCGCATGTGCGACGCGGTGTGGTGCGACGTTGCCCTTCGCCTGCGCCCGTTCCTCGCCCACCCGGGCGACCGCGGCGTGGTTGCGTGGTGCCACGACGACATTGCCGCCGCCGCCCGCAAGTTCTTCCTCGATCCCATCGTGCATCAGGTCGCCTCTGTTGCTGCCGAATTCCTCGCCGGCACATACGCGGACGTGGAGAAGCCGCTGCAGCTCAAACCGGCGACGGCAAAGGCCTTTGGCATTGACCCAACAGGTGTGTGCGTGTGTGTGTGTGCGTGTGTGTGTGTGTGTGTGTGTGTGTGTGCGTGTGTATGTGCGTATGTGTGTGCGTGCGTGCGTGTGCTTCTCATTGCCCTCCTCTCTGGTGGTAATGGCGTTTTTCAGTGTTGCTCACGAGTTCTTCCACTTGCCCTCCCTTACTCCCTCCCTCCCCCACCGCCACCATTCCCTGCAACGCAGAGCCCAAGTGGCGCGGCGTGTGCCCTCAGCCGTTGTCATTCACACACAACGACGCCCACGCCCTCCTGCCGCCGCCAAACATGCGCATCCTCGACTCGAGCGGCGAGGTGTGACACCCAACATTCACGCTGTGTGCTCGCTCGTGTGTGAGAGTTGTGTGTTGGTGCGTGTGTGCTGGTGTTTGAGCTGTTTTCTGTTTTATGTCCCTGGTCCTCTTCCTCTGTCTTCTCCTTCTCCACCACCACCACCACCACCACCACCACCTCCTCCTTCTCCACCACCACCACCACCTCCTCCTCCTCCTCCTCCTCCTCCTCCTCCTCCTCCTCCTCCTCCTCCTCCTCCTCCTCGTCACCTGGGCTCATCTCCCATCTGCCGCTGCTTTGTGGCATCAGTTGCTGGCGTGCCTTGGCGATTGGAAGAGTCTACTTGAGCTCTACCTGTGCAACTTCGCCTGGCTTGAAGCGAAGCTTGCTGTGCATTCCCCAATGGTACGCGCTTCTCTGCCGTTTGCTGTTGTTTATCACCATCAAAGCGTGCACCACTCACCTGCCTGTGTTTGTGTCCCGCTGTCTCCTCCCCCCCCCCAACACCACCACCACCACGAACCACGCACCTTTCTCACTCTGACACACAACACAACACAAAACAACACAACACAACACGGCACGGCACAACAATCAGACGATTGTGGAGATGGTGGCGCGGTTTGACATGAGCAGCGCCACGCCCGTGGTGAAGACGACGCTGTCTGACCTCTCTGCCACCCTGCAGGCCATCACCAGCGAGAACACGGGCCCTGTACAGCTCGCCAAGCAGCTGCTGCTCCGCCTCCCCGTGTCCACAACACCGCTGCAGTGTCTCCGACACCAGGCTGAGCTGGCCATTGGCAAGGGCGAGGGTTTGCTGTGGCCCTCAGCGCCGCTGCTCCCCGTTGCCGAGCTCGAGTGCATATCTGTCATCCGCACACCGGGGTGGAAGTGCTGGTGGGCTGGTGTTGCACTCGCAGGCGCGACGGGCGACAAGAAGACGCGGGCGACAACGTCGCGGCTTGAGCTGGTGCTGGTGTGGCTCAACGCCGCCAACCGCGACATGCTGCACCTGTACAACCTGCGCACGGGCACGCTGTTCTTTGAGAAGGAGCTTGACCCCGTGCTGAAGGACGTGGGCCCGCTTGACGTTGGCGCGGGCGAGGAGGGCGATTCGTACGGCATCGCCGGTGTGGGCATTGGCGACAACATGAAGGGCGCGGCGGTGTGGAGCAACGGCCAGGCGCGCGTGTGGGCGCTACCGGCCGGCGAACAACTGCTGGAGTTTCAGGCGCTGGACACCGTGGTGGACGCCGTGATGAGCGGCGATGGGACCACCCTTGTCACCACCAACGAGGATGCGTATGCCGTGTGGGACACGTCCACCGGCAAGCTGCTGTGCGGGGAGGAGGGCCTGGTCAATGTGGCTGCTGTTGCTGTCTCGCGGGACGGCCGCACCGCCGCTGTTGCCAAGGCCTCTGGTGGCGTTGTGTTGGTGGACACGGCCAAGGCAAGCACCACCACCTTCCCCGTGAAGACGGAGCAGGTGGTTGTTGCCGTTGCGCTGCAGGGCCGCTCGCGCCTCGCCGTGTCGCTGGACGACAGTACCGTCATTGTGTACGACATTGGCAGCAAGAAGCAGGTGCTCTCCTACACACACCCGGGCCAAGTCGAGAGCGTGGCGCTGTCGGCCAACGGGTGGTGTGCGAGTGCCTCTGGCGGTGACAAGTCAGACCGTCGCATTCACCTGCACGATGTTGGGTTTGGCAAGCGGCAGCTGCTGGTTGGCCACGCTGCGGACGTGAACAGCGTGGCGTTCCACCCGTCCCTGGGCGAGTGTGTCGTGAGCGCGAGTCATGACGGCACGGTGCGGCTTTGGCGCAGCCAGGATGATCTCGCTGCTCTTCCCAATCGACACATCCACGACGACGCCGTTGACTTTGTGCGCACCAGTCCGCACTTTGCAGTCAGGTCGGCCCGCTGTTTCAGTTGCTTGGGGATGTGTTTTCGTGTGTGATTTTGTGTGTGTGTGTGTGTGTGTGTGTGTATGTTTGTGTGTGTGTGTCGTGTGTGTGTATGTTTGTGTGTGTGTGTCGTGTGTGTGTATGTTGTGTGTGTGTGTGTGTGTGTGTGTGTCGTGTGTGTGTGCGTAATTTGTGCGGCCCAATATTCGCGTGAGTGTTGTGTGCGGTTGCATGTGTGTTGTTGTTGTTGTTCTCTTGCCACCACGCCCTCACACCCCCACACCACAACCATCAACACCCCCACACCACACCCATCAACACCACTCATCCCACCCCGCCCACAGCGCGAGTGCGACGTACGCGACGCTGCACTTCTGGTCGCACGACGGGGAGTGGCAGCGGAGTGTGTGCCTCAAGGGCCGCAGCGATGAGGTTGACGCCAGCTGCTACCTCACGGGCCGCGTCGCCGTGTCCGACGATGGCGAGTATGTCGTCAGCACGCTGGCAGACCACAGCGTGTGCTGCTACGCGTGGAGCAGCGAGAAGCTGGAGATGTGCAGCGTGCCCAACGCAACGCAGGCGCAGTTTGTCAACAACGGCAAGACAACGACGGTTGCTGTTGCCTCGAAAAACGCGCTTGTTCTCATTGACGCCGCGAGCGCCGAGGTGAAGAAGCGGCTTGAGCTGGGCGATGCCCCCATACGGGCGCTGGCGGGGCTTGCCTCGGACAAGTACATGGTGGCCGCCTTTGACGAGCGGCTGCTTGCCATTGACACGGAGAAGGGCCAAATACTGCGCCAGTTCTCGCGCGAAGCGGCCGGCAGCGAGCTGCTGCTGTTGCAGGTGCTGAAGCGCAACGGCACGCCGTGGGTGCTGTCGTACGAGGAAGGCACGCCCTCTGTCATCCTGCGCTCGCTGCTGTCTGCGGACGAGGAGTTGGCGCTGGAGAGCAACAACACGAGCTGCGCGTGTGTCTCTGCGGACGGGCGGCTGGTGACCATTTGCAGCAACGCGGGGGACGTGGAGGTGTATGACGTCGAGGCTGGCGGGCTTGTTCTTCAGGAGAACGGCGCGCACGGCAACGCTGTGGAGCAGTGCGTGTTTTCCGCTGACGGGCGGTGGCTGCTGACGGCGGGCCAGGACACGCTGGTCAAGTGCTGGGACGTCAAGGCCGGGTTTGTGCTCACGGGCACGGAGCAGTGCGCCTCCCCTGTATCATCGCTGGCAGTGACGCAGGGTGGGCGCGGGGCCGTTGTTGGCCTGCGCAGCGGCGTTGTTGGGCACCTGAGCCTTGTCTCTGCGACGCAGAGCCCGCGGGCGGACGTTGCGTATGGGGAGTCTTTGCTGTACAACCTGGTGACGACGGTGGAGAGGAGCACGCGGTCCAAGGCCAAGGCCAAGTCGAAGCCGCGGCGGTCGGAGTCCCCGTCGTATTCCGGCAGCAACGCCAGCAGCGCCACCAACACCAGTGCACGTGTTGGGCGCGAGGCGACCCGCACCGGTCGTGGTGGTCGTGGTGGTGGTGGTAACCACGACAAGAAATGCTGCACCTTGCTCTAAGTTGTTACATAGTTACAGTTTGCACGTGACGCTGAGCAACTTGGACGGTGCTGTGTTGTGTGGGTGCTGTCATTCGTTGTGTTAGCTTTTGTCGAGAGACTCTGTGTGCGTGAGTTGTGCTCGTGTGTTTGTGTGGGTGTGCTTGTGTGTTTGTGTGTTTGTGCTTGTGTGATTGTGTGGGTGTGCTTGTGTGATTGTGAGCGTTCCTACGCCAGGTGGCCGCTACTGCGGGTAGAAAAGAAGGAATCACTTTACTGACTTTACTGCTTACCCCACCGACCCACACATAGGCTGAGGCTCTTACAGAGTGACGGGAGTAGGAAATTTCCTACTCCCGCCCTGTGTGTTAACGACACCTATTGACGTAACGGCGAGTCGGGTTCGTAAGTGGGTAACGCGTACGGTTCGTGAAAACAAGTCGGCCCTTGAACCCGAAAGCGCAGTTTCTTATCTGCCGTGACGCTAGCACATGGATGGAGGTGTTTGTGTGGGGCGATCATCTCTTGGTCTCCCTTCCACACGCTTCTGTTCGTAGGTATGGGGGTGTGTGTGGGGTGGGGTGGTGTGTGTGTGTGTGTGTGTGTGTGTGTGTGTGTGTGTGTGTGTGTGTGTGTGTGGGTCGGTGGGGTAAGCAGTAAAGTCAGTAAAGTGATTCCTTCTTTTCTACCCGCAGTAGCGGCCACCTGGCGTAGGAACGCTCACAATCACACAAGCACACCCACACAATCACACAAGCACAAACACACAAACACACAAGCACACCCACACAAACACACGAGCACAACTCACGCACGTTCTCATCGGGCAACCGTATTCGAGGGTGTTCTTTCGCGAATTTTCTACATTGCACAACACCAGCAGATTGCAAGCGTCGCACAACAGCAAGCAAGCAAGCAAATCAGACAGAAGCAAGAAGAAAGAAAAGCAGTGTGAGTGAAGAGTTTCTTGTGGACTGGATGTGAATGAGAGGACAGCTGCAGCACACACAGCTCTCTGACAAGGCAAGTTCTTGTGCTGTGTGTGTGTGTGTGTGTGTGTGTGTGTGCGCGCGGTCGGCGGATCGAGCGATCAAGCGATCTAGTGATCTGTCCATTTGTCCATCTGTCGATCAGTTTTGTTGCTTTGTGCGCTCAGTCAGTGGATTGTGCGTGCTGTGTTCGATTGGTGTTTGTTGCTTTCCATTTGTGCCTCGTTGGTTGAGTGAGCGTGCTGGTTCGGGGTTTCAGGCACTTGGTGTTGTTGTGATTCCATTTGCTCTTGTTGTTCCTTTTCCACCCTTCCTACGCTTCCTACCCTGCCTTCCTGCTTTGTGTTGTTCGTTTCTCTTCCTTCTCCAATTCCTCCAACCTTATTCCGAACCACATGCAGGTCTTTGTTCTCCCTTGTTCCTCGCCTTGCCGCTTCTGCTTCTTCTCACTGTCAGACTGGCGTCTCACTGCTATCCTTACACAGGCCAACTTCCGCAACAGCGACAGCAACAACAAAAGCAACAAAAGCTGAAACAGTGCAGTACCTTCTTCTGCTACTTTGTGAACCGCTCTTCAAAGCCGGTTTGTGCCTCGCGTGCGCACACCCGCACACGCACATCTGCACACACACACACACACATCCGCACACGCACACCCGTGTTCAGCTGCGCAGGAGACCAGCTCAAGGGGCAAGATGCAGTTATTCATTGCAGCGTTCAACCTGAGCGCTGCGCTGCTGGCCTCGATTGCCTTTCACATGAACACGTGGAACACGGCCCTGTCTGTCGTGATGGCGCTCGTGTTCTCCGAGATTGTGAGCCAGAATGCCCAGTTCTACGCGCGCCTGCTGTTCCACAGCATGCTCTACGTCTTCTTCAGGGAGATTGACACGCGCAACGCCCACTGCATCCCAAAGTCAGGGCCCGTCGTCTTCGTGTGCGGCCCGCACGCGAGCCAGTTTGTGGACCCCATCCTGATCATCACCCACACGCCGCGCGACCTGCGTTTCCTCATTGCCGCCAAGAGCGTCAAGCGCTGGTTCGTCGGCTTCATGGCCCGCCTCATCAACAGCATCCCCGTGCAGCGACCGCAGGACGCAGCCGTGCGCGGCAAGGGCACGGTCACGGGCTCCTCCACCCTGATTGTCGGCCACGGCACGACGTTCACCAAGGACTTTCAGGTCACCGACAGCATTTTCGTTGCCGGCGAGGCATACCGCATCGAGAAGATTGTGTCCGACACGCGCCTCGTCCTCAAGCGCCCGCTGACACGTGCGCTGCCCGTGCGCGCCAAGTTCAAGATCTTCCCGCGCATCGACCACTCTGTTGCGTACCAGCTGGTGTACCAGGCATTCCACAACAACGAGTGCGTGGCCATCTTCCCCGAGGGCGGGTCGCACGACCGACCGGAGCTGCTGCCGCTCAAAGCCGGCGCGGCCGTCATGGCGCTCGGGGCAATGGCAGACAACTGCAAGCCCATCAAGGTCGTGCCCGTGGGGCTCAACTACTTCCACGGCCACCGCTTCCGCTCGCGCGCGCTGGTTGACTTTGGGCGGCCGATTGAGGTTGAGCCGCACCTGGTGGAGGAGTACAAGGCCGGTGGGGAGCGGCGACGCACCGCCATTGCCACGCTCATGTCGACCATCACGGAGGCCCTCAACTCGGTGACCATCACCGCGCCAGACTACGACGAGCTGCGGCTGCTGTGGGCGATCCGCCGCCTGTACAAGCCGGAGCACGTGGTGCTCACGCTGGAGCAGACGCAGCAGCTTACGCTTCGCTTTGCGGACCTGAAGGAGGTGATGGGGGAGGAGCCACGCTTCATGCGGCTGCTGGAGCGCGTGTCTGCGTACAACAAGCAGCTGGAAAGCTACGGTCTGCGCGATCACCAGGTCAAGCGCACCGTCCTCAAGACAGAGACAGTCATCTCCATGCTCTTGTGGCGTGCGGTGTTGTTTGTGGTGGAGCTGCTTGCCCTGCTCCCTTTTATGGTGCTTGGCCTGCCCATCCTGTTTGCGTGCCGCCTCGTCTCGGAGAGCAAGGCCCGCGCTGCGGTGGCGGGCTCGAGCGTGAAGCTTGTTGGCCGCGACGTCAAGGCAACGTGGAAGATCCTCACAGCAACAGCCATCATCCCCATCTACTTTATCCTCTACATTGTGCTTGCGGGCGTGCTGTTCTCGTGGCGTGCGGCACTGGGCACGTTTGTGTGCCTGCCCATGCTCATGCTGGTGAGCCTGCGCATATGGGACCACTTTCTGCGCGTGTCCCGCTCGTTCTCGCCACTGCTTGTCGCCGTGTTCCACCGCAACGCTGGCCGGCAGCTGCTGCAGACGCGGCGCGAGCTCAAGCACGAGATTCGTGAGGTTGTGCGCGAGTGCGCCGACAAGTTGCGCCGGCCACGCATGTTCACGGAGGCCGACTTTGCTGGCGAGAGCGACACGGATGAAGGCGAGGAGCCCTGTGAATCATCCGGATAATCGTGTGGTGTGTAATGGTGTGTGCGTGTGTGTGTTTGTTTGTGTGGTGTGTAATCGCTCGCGCGCGCGTGTGTGTTTGGCACCAATCAAGCACCTGTACATTTCTCCTTTTCTTCTTCTCTTCATGCTGTTCTGGTGTGTCTTGGTAGAACTGCGTATGTCTGTCCGTCCAATGTGGCGTAACCAGAGCATCGTGCTCGAATGTGAATGTGTGTATGTGTTGATGATGATGACGATGACATTCCTTTTTTTTTTTTCAGACGAAGTAACAAACTTGCGCTTTTCCTGTGCTTTGTCATTTGTGGTCAAGTACACGCAAAGCAAACAACCAAATGGACGCAAGGCCAACACACTGTTAACTATTGCTGGTTTTGTCGTTGCTGCTGCTGCTGCTGTTGTTGTTGCTGGTGCTGTTGTTGCCTCTGTTCTGCTGCTGCTGCCAGTTCTTTCCTCCTCGCCTCAACGGCCCTCTCATCGTATTCCCACCGAGTCTTGTCTGCACGCAATGGCAGGTGGGAGGGGCGAGGGTGAGTTGGTGGACATGCAGACGTAACACCGGAAGCAAGCATTCACACATTGCGGAGGACGTGGGCTCAAACACAACACCACATCACAGCAGACCACAGCACACAGCACACCACACGACGCCACAGCGCGCACCGTTTCTGAGACGCCTGTATGCGGCACAGATGGCCTCATATTCGCGCTGTGCGGTAGACGACTGCAGGCGTTGCGGATACACGTGCCACACGGCTCGCCGAAAGTGCTCCTGCTCATGTCATAGGATGGCGAGAAGTTAGCAAGCGCGCGTGCGTGTGCGTGAGCGTGTGTGTGTGTGTGTGTGTGTGTGTGTGTGTGTGTGTGTGTGTGTGTGTGTGTGTGTGTGTGTGTGTGTGTGTGTGTGTGTGTGTGTGTGTGTGTGTGTGTGTGAGGCTGACAAGGTGGACACCATACGGTGCAAGCAAGCATGACGCGCATGCCTTGATGTCGAAGAGGGATGCGTTTTGTTTCAGATCCTGCAGCCCAAGCGCAGCATACACGGCCTCTGGATCTGCATACAGCCGTGATGAGGGAAGCGGTGATGGTGTGACCGCATGCGTAAACATATTAATGCATGCACAAGGCGGCGGCGTGGAAGAGGGAGAAGCAGAGAGAGAGAGTGTGTGTGTGTGTTGGGGGAAGGGGAGACAGGCTAACAGACACACACACACATTTATACGCACACACATATATACACACACCTGCAAGTTCCTCTGCGGGCAACTGAGTTGTCTGTGACGCACGCATGCATGTTGACACGAGGCATTGAAGGAGAGTGGGCAGCATGAGGTGTGGGAATTGAGTCGAGGGTGACTTGTCACACCAACAGCACACATGCATGAACACAAACAGCACACAAACACACTCACAAGCACAAACACACTTTCAAGCACAAACACGCACACATATACAACACTAGCACATCGCGTCACCTGTATGCTTTCTCTGTCTGCACGTGCTTGGCTTGTGAGCTCGCGGGCCTGGTGCTCAAACTGCACACCTTCGTCCAACGCCTGTCGAAGCGAGAGGAGAGCCGTAAAGAACAAAGGACAACGAACATGCACATTCAGCGCATACGAGCGGTGATGGGGTGTGAGACGTGCTTGCAGCACGATCCACATGCATGAACAGGTGTCCTTAACAACAACACGCGAGCAGCACATGCACACACACGCACACACACACATGCACACACGCACACATGCACACACACATGCACACACACACACATGCACACATCTCACCCGCTGTGTGAGCTGGCGCTGCCTGTCAATCTCGCGCCTCAAGCGCTCGTCGTAGCGCGCCTGCATGTAGCCCGGAAACAGCTTGGTAAGGGCGCCGGCCACCACGCCAGGGAGACCTGCCGCAAACGCAACCGTCTGCAGCCGTGGTGGAGCGGAGAACAAGAAGTGAGGTGCAGAATGCAAAGCGCGAGACCTGAACTTGAAAACAATGAATGTGGAGACTACAACATGCGCACATCACAAACAAACAGACAAACGAATCACAAACAAACACACGCACGCACACGCACGCACACGCACGCACACGCACGCACACACACACACACGCGCATACACACACGCGCATACACACACGCGCATACACACGCACACACTGCTAAACGGCCGCAGCCGCACGCGTATGTGCCTGAGTCGATCGCACCGTTGGTTCGGGGATGAAGACGCTGGTGGCCGCGCCGGCGACAACACTGGCGATGGTGCCGAGGGTGACGCTCGAGTAAATCTTCTGCCCACCAACCTCGCCGCTGACCCCGCTAACAAACGTGCGGAACACGCGGTCACCTGCGGAGACAGTGAAGATGTAGGCAGGCATGTACACTGCCTGCATGGCGCAGTTGAGGACGGTTGTCTTGGTGCGGACGTAACGCACGCTCTCGGCAGCATAGTACTGCTTCAGGACCGCCTCCGCCATCTCCGCCTCCAGATCGTTGATTCGCGCGCGAATTAGTGACCAGGAAAACTCAGGGGTCATCTCATACGGGTAGACAGTCGCGCCCTCCAGGGCGTGCTGGTGGGCGCTTGGGTCAAACTCCACGGCGTCCTTGACAAAAGACCCTTTCAGCGCTTGCACATTCTGCCTCCGGAACGTGAACCCGGCATACACTTGCATCTCGGGGATGGTCGCGGCAAAGTGGCGGTCGCCAACGTCCAGCCAGCCCTGTGTGTCGCGCCAGTTCTGGTCGCTGTGAACGCTGTAGGAGCTGGCCTCCGGCTCCCAGGCAGCGCGCGCCTGGCTGACACCAACCTCGCCCCGAAACTTGCTGTGCACCTGCGACAGAAGGCGACCACACACAACAGGAAGCAACAACAGTGAGCAGGGCGGTGTTATGGATGACAGGCATATGGAGTCGGATAGCCCAGGTTCAATGAAGCCGTTTCAAGTGATAATGTACGTTCTGTGTTGAAGATCAAAGGCTTGCTGGGAGATGACACCACATCGGGACTGTTGACTTTGGTCACAGACATGCCGGCGCAAGCGAGAGACAACACTCCGAGCACAACAGAATGTCAAATGAAAAACAAACAAACAAGGCGCATGTGGCACAAAGGTGCCACACGACTGCAAGGAATGGCCGCACCTCCACTTCGTATGTCCAGAAGGGCAGGAAAGCGCGTGTCGGGTGCTGCTCTTGCAGCGCCTTCTTGATCGCATTTGGTGCCAGCTTGGGTAGCCATTTCTGCACGGCCTCCAACGCATCCTCGTCGCTCAGCTTGAAGTCAACAAACTTGGGGCGTCGAATCGAAGACACACTCTCCATGCTCCAGTGTCGCCGCCATACTGACACTGGCGACGGCCGCTGCCCGCGAGCATTGCACACCACAACAGCACAGCAGCGCTGCATGTGTCTGCGAGCACACCGCACACCAACAACACCAGTCATCATCGCCACCAGCCAGCCACTGCTCATCAAGAAACGTATCAATTTTTGGTGTCGGGAGCCGCTCGTGTGCGGTCGATTCGTCCGTTTGCTGCTGTTGTGCTGCTGTCCGCACATACAACAATCATCATCACTTTCACTGCTCCTTCCTCCCAGTTCCTTGAGTGCTTCTTGCCACAGTGCCACGAGGAGGAAGCAGCACCAGGCACAGTGTAACAGCAAGCAGACTGGAAGCAAGCGAGGAAACAACAACAGTTCTCCAGTTGCTTGTTCCGGAGCTGCGATCTTTGTTGTCGCGAGGTTTCGCTTTCGCACGCCGCTGCAAAGGATCCAGCACGGCATCGTCGACAAGGACAATAGGACCATGGCGTGCCTGCAGGCATTTCAGATTGCGGTGTGCGTATTGATTGTCGCCCTTGGCACTCCACAAGTTCACAGGGTGACTGCAGAGACCACAGTGACGGGTGTCCTGACGCTGGTGCGATTCCACGCCACATTCGACGACACCGCCACCTACCCAACCAATGGAGGGGATGATAATTGGATCAACCCGACAGTCGCACTCCTCGTCGGCGAGCAGCCCGCTGACCGCCACAGACTCAACCAAGCAGTCGACGAATCTTCCCCATGGCAGGTCGAAGAGCCATGGGAAAACCCTATCCACTGGCCACGTGCATGGGAATACTTGGGGGGTGATCCTGTTGTGACACTCGACGCCGATCAAGCGGTCACCATCCAGTTTGGCACGTGGCGGTTTCCGCCCAGCACGACGTCTCTCATCCCTTACGTCGAGGACACGTTCTCCCCACTCAACTGCACCTTCAACCAGGCCAACATCACCTTCAGCTGCACCGCACACGGCAAGCCCAACGAACCAACCGACGCACAGTTCCCGGCCGTCTTCACCTACACCTACACCTACACCTGCGACGCCACCACTAGCTGCGGTGACTACGCCACCTGCAACACGACATCGGGCCAGTGCGTGTGCGACGAGGGCGCTGCATCGCCCGCAGGCCACATGTTTGACTGCCAGCCGCTGTGCCCTGAGGGCGCGTGCGTGGGCGAGAACGCATACTGCGACCCAAGCGAGTCCGTCATCGGTGACCCCGCATGCAAATGCAACACTACCGTGAACCCAAGGCTGATATACGAGAGCGGTGTTGGATGCGTACATCATTGCTCGCTGGGAGGTGATTATTGTGCTGACCCTGACACAGAGTGCATTGGCAGTGCATGCAAATGCAAGGAGAACCTGTATCTCGACATGGGTACGTGTGTGGCGAAGAAGAGCTGCCCTGCAGGAGAGTTTGCGACGGACCTTGGAGACGCGACCAACGACCGCGAGTGCGACGCATGTCCTCCTGGGTTCTACTGCCCCGGCAGCGGCGACGACCCTGGCCCAGCCTTTGCGTTTGTGTGCGAGGGACCGCAGTACTTTGGTGCGCGGGAGGGCCAGAGCGAGTGCAACACCACGCAACCAGGCTACTTCAGCACCAGCTCATCCGAGTTTGTGCGGATTGACGTGTACACCGCAAGCGCCTCGCCGACGCCGTACGCAGGCACAGCCAGGTTCTCGACCATCGACCTGTACGTAAAGGAGCAGGAGTGCCCGGCTGGCATTGTGTGCCAGAACGGCGAGCGGACACCGTGTGTCCCCGGCACGACATTCCAGGATGAGCCTGGGCAGACCATGTGCCAGCCGTGCTCCACGTGTGACCTTGGGTTTGAGGTGGACAACGCGTGCGAAGTGACTCGCGACACCGAGTGCAAGGAAATCGACGAGTGCGCGAGAGGCACCGACAACTGCGACATCAACGCAGTTTGCAGCAACACCGTGGGCTCCTTCGAGTGCACTGCAACGAAGGGTTTGAGGGCAACGGCACGGTGTGTGTGAACATCGACGAGTGTGCTCGTGGCACACACGTGTGCCACCCCAACGCAATCTGCATTGACACCATTGGCAGCTACACGTGCGAGTGCAAGCCCGGGTTTGTTGGGGACGGTGTTGGGGAGTGCGTTGATGTACCACCGTCTGTGCAGCTGCTGGGTGCGGCGAGCAGCAGCATTGTGTTTGAGGATGGGGTGGTGTATGTTGATGCGGGCGCGGCTGTGAACGACAGCAATGTGCCTGTGCCGTACTATGTGTCTGGGTGGGGTGCGCTGAGGGAGGCGCTGGGGCAGGGGATGTGTGTGACTGGGTCTCCTGTGCTGGAGTACTTTGTGCGGGACGGGGAGGACACGCGGAAGACGCGCAGCGTGGGTGTTGTGTATGGGGCGCCTGCTGTGTCGCTTGTGCGCGGGGAGCGTGTGACGGCGCTGCAGCTGGTGCAGGGCGCGACGAGCGAGTGCTACGAAGCGACAGACCCGTCGCGCGTGCGTGTTGTGGATGCGTTTGGGGATGAGGTGAGTGTGACGACGTCGTTTACGGCGCAGCCGCAGCCGTTCCTGTGCGACTCGCTCAGCTCCACCACGTCGTTCCGGCAGCGTGTTGACTATGTGGGGAGCGCGTGTGGCGTGAATGGCAAGGTTGAGCTTGAGTTTGCGTGGTTTGACACGTGGGCGCCGAAGGTGTGGGTTGGGGCAGGGCCGAGCGAGGTTGCTGTTCAAGTGGACACGGCCAGGACGTTTTCTGGCACTGGGGCGCTGTGCTCTGCGAGCGCGCATGACTTTGGCACTCCCAACGTCACGGTTCGTCTTGCGTGTTTGTGGATGCTTGTGGATGCTTGTGTGTGTTTGTGTGTGTGTGTGTATGTGTGTGTGTGTGCACGTGTGTGTGTGCACGTGTGCGTGTGCGTGGCTCGATGTGCGTGTGTGTTTGTGTGTATGTGTGTATGTGTTGCGTGCTGCGATCTGATGACTTTGGTGTGAATCTGGTTGCCACGATGAATTTGCATACTTGTGGTTGTACTTGTCGCTTGTGCTCACACCTGATGTGGTTACTCTGTTGCCATCACTGCATGCTTGCACCCACGCACGTATATTCTGTGCATGCATGCACGCACTGGGTGTGCAGGTTGAGAGCACGTGGGGAGCGAGCGGAGCAGTGGACCCGAGCGTGATTGGGGAGCACCAGCGATGGTCGTGGGCACGGGACGACGAGGGCCTTGTGTCGCGCAACGTGTCGTGCCGAGTGCGTGTGCTGGACACGATGGCGCCTGTGCTGCGTGTGCCGAACATCACGGCTGGCGCGGAGCGGGTGTTGGTTGTTGAACAGTCAGCGACGACGCTTGCGTTTGCGGATGCGGTGGTTGAGGACGCGCACGACGGCACGCAGGTGGTTGGAGCAACGCCGAGCAGCGTGTCGCTGGGCGCGGTGGGCACGCACGTGGTGCGGTATGAGGCGACGGACGACAGCGGGAATGGGGTTGGCGGCGGGGAGGCGCATGCGGTGCGGGTGGTTGTGCGTGAGCAAGCGAGCGAGGTGGCGGGTCGACGCGAGCCTGATGTTGTTGTTGGGGATGATGACGGCAACGGGGACAGTGTGAGTGTGGAGGAGACGTTCACAGCAAGCCTCAGCCTCAGCAACAGCAACAGCAACAGCGACAGCAATGCTGGACGCCGGACTGAGGGGGATGCGTGGGTTGTTGATGAGGGGCGAGCGTCGTTTGTGCCTGGGACGCATGTTGAGGTTGAGGTTGGCGGGGATGACGGAGAGAGCGTGGTGCAGCATGTGCGGCGCGTGGTGTATCCGAGCAGCGCTGAGGTGACGATGATCTTGTACGATGATGGGATTGGCGGGACGCGGGAGGAGACGGAGACGCTGATCCGGGCTGCGTTTGACGATGTTGCGCGGCCGTGCGGGCGGGTGTATGTGCTTGACATTGACTTTGTTGGCAATGTGGTTGAGCTGGTGTGCGTTGACGGGAGCGGGGCCCTCGTGCGCCTCAGCAAGGACGACGTCCCCGCTGCCCAAAGGAACCTGTTTACGGTTGTGCAAACTGGCTCGGACGACAGGCCAGGAACTGGGGGCGGCAGCAGTGGCAACAGCTCTGGATCGACACACGTGCTGATTGGAGTGTTTGTGGCGGTGATTGGGCTTCTGATTGCCGTGATCATTCTGTTGCATCGTCGACGAAGATCGAAACAGTCCAACTCTGTGCAGGTGTGCGCACATGTGAATGAATGATTGCGTTGGTATGTGTACTCGCCCGATTGCCTGGCTGTTCTGCATGCTTGTTGGTCCGTGCATGTGCGTTTGAGTGCTGGTTGCTGACGCTGTCATTGCCTGCATGTGTTGCGCCACAAAAGGAGGTCCAAGCGCCAGACAATGGCATCGTCGCTACAGGACCAGGTGCGTTCGAGACGTCGAGGTGTTGAAGTGTCAAGTCATATCGCTTCACCAATGCCAGCTATGGGTTGAGCTTGGCGCATACTTGCTGTGCATGATTGCTTGCATGCACAGGATCATCTCTAGACTTCTAGACTACTTCCCATCGCTTTGGTCAGTTGCTTCACAAGCACATTGTTCCGTCACCCCACTGTGATTGCATTGTCTTTTTGGCAGACCTGCACATGCACAGGTGGAACCCTGTGTTCTACGACACGGTGGGGGTGGTGCACGGCGACGATGCTGGTGGTGTTGAGCAGGTGACAGCGCCGCACGTGTATGAGAGCATTGAAGACGGCGATCCGGAATCAATTCAGGCAACTTTGCGCGCGCTGGACTTTGAGGAGCCGCCAGCACGACCAGAGCCCGCGCATCTCAGCAACCGCCAACAACAACAACAACAACAACAGCAGCAGCAGCAGCAGCAGCAGCAACAGCGCGGAGGTGGTGGCAGCACACGAACCCAGAGTGTGAAACTGCGCACGAAGGATGCGTTGTGGCGAAGGCAAAGGCAAGAGCGGGAGCGGCGATGCCACAGCGCAGGGGTCACACATGGTGGCATGATTGGTTCAGTGCTGCACGGCGCACCTTCAACACTCAGCGCCGCCACGATGAGACCGCGCGCACAGACGAGAACAACACCAAGCGAGGCACCAGCAGCACCAACACAAAGCGAGGCAGCTGCAACAGTATCAGCAGCAGCAGCAGCAGGGCGGACCGTCCACAGAACGCGCGCACCAAAGCGGCTGGCAGCGCGACAGTCGCTTCGTCTGGCGTCGGATGCAAACCTGATGGCGGAATCAAGCTCCGACCCAACGCCTGTTCACACGTGGTCAGTGAACAGCTACGACCACACCACCACGCCCACCTCGGCAGCTCGGCGTGAAGCAAGGCGGGATGCCAACAGGCGTGCATCGCAATACGACATTGTGGAAGGCGTGACACCGCGCCAGTGAAGGGGGTGGAGAGATATTGTTGACCTGGGTGAGAAGAGAACACGTGATGAAGCTCAAGTGCTAGTGGGCACGGTGCTGAAGTTTAACGATGATCGCAGAACATGGATTGTCACAGGGCGGCTGCGAATAACGCCGGGTGTTGAGCGCGATTCGAGGGAGTGAATATTTGGCTGAGGGGTCGTGGTCAACAGTCTGTGTGGTTGGTGTGGTTGGTATGATTGGCAGCAGCCTGTTTACTAGACATCCTCACAGAGGAAAGTACAGAGCCGCAAGCAACAGAATAAAGGAAAGGGGCGAAGAATCATGGACACAGTTGCTGGGACAAAGAGGGTCACGCTCAACAACGCAAGGTCGAGGGGGAGCACTCGTGGTCTACAATACAAACACAAACAGACAAACATAAGCTTCACACGCAGCAAGCGCACGTGTCACTGGCACATGCTCATGCACACATGCATGCATACATACACTGAAAGAAAGCTATGTAAGAGAAGGTCAACAGCGCACGCCAGCGCTGTCACACGACTGGCGGCTGGTTAACGTGGCAAAGCAACGCTCAAAGCGCAAGCGAAAAGCGAGTGGACAGGTCAGCTATGTCAAGGCGAATGGAACGAAACAAACAAGCACAGCAAACAAGCAACGGAAAACACAGAAACAGGGCCTGGGGAGGGGGAGGAAGGACAACTGGGGAGTCAGCAGCAAGCAATCAACAACACGATACCACTATCATGTTGTTCACATCACCACAACGACGTTGATCACATCACAACCAACCCAATAAGACGAAACAAAGCTCCAGTGCACTGACACCGGGGGGGGGGATTCTAACTTGTGGCTGAAGCGAAGTGGCTGTCGGCACACTACACACACACGGGAAGAAATATACACACATACAGCACATACATGTAAGCACACACATATAAACACACAAACACGCACAGACACACACACACACATAAACACGCACAGACACATAGGAGAACGACATGCAAGCCATTAAAATCAACACAACGCTTCAAGCCGCATAAAGCGCCTCCACAAGTTCACAGCAAGTCAACATAGTATGAACAAGCAAGCTGTGAACAAAGAGAGGAAGGAAGGCGCATGAAAATGGGGCGAAGATGCAAAGGAGGAAACGGGCGAGACAAGCTGTATTCAACGCAAAGCCACATGGCTATGAATGGCTGTGAACAAAGAAAGAGCAGGGGGGGGGGACGTAATGCGATGAAATGATGACGTAACGATAGCCTGTCGAGGTACAACTTCGACACCCAGCAGAACACTTGAAGAGGGCGGAAGAGGCTCAGCTCAATGCCTGTGGATGATGGGGGGCAACAGGGTGACGGGTTGGTGGTTTGTTGGTTTGTCAGGGGGACACAAGTTAGCGACAAGCGGAGCAAAGAGAAACGCAGCCAGAGCAATACACGAAACCAAAGGACAAACACCAATGATGTCGCAAGCCAGAGTGCCTTCACTCGGGCAGGGCGCAAGCTCAACAGCAGCAACTAAACAACAACAGCAGCAGCGGCAGCAGCAGCAACAACCAACAACTTCTAAACAACACCCAAACAATGACGACAACATGGGAGCATGCCTCGCTTACCCTCGGCCCTCTTGACAGGCGCGAATCGTCGGATGTGGAGATTTGCGGCAATCTGTTCCGAAACCCATCGAGAGGCCAAACGAGCAAGGATTGGAGGGGAGGAAATGAGGAGGGTGCAAGCGAAAAGCAACGTGCACATATTTGAAGCCAGAGCAAGAGAACTCGGCCGGAGAGAAGGTGGTCACAGCCAGCCAGCCAGCCAGCCACACACATACACATACACGGACAAACGGACAAATAGACAAATAGACAAACAAACAAACAGACAGACAGACAGACACACACACCTCCGTGGTCTGCGTGTTGTTTCTCGTGATCCGTCCTTGATGGGGGTGGTGAGGATCTGGCTCACAACGTTCATGCCTCCCACATCCGCCAAGCTGTTGTGTGAGACGCAGACAGCCAGTAAAGTGTAAGGATGAATCGAGGGCGAAGTGCAAAGCGGGCGTGGTGTGTGGAACGGCCAACCGAGACGCATACGCACACGCACAGAACAGAGTTCGTACTCGAACGCAGAAGCGGAGCTTGTCTTGCGAGACCGCTGTCGTGTATATGCACGCGTGGGTCTGAAGATGAAGGCAGATGACGTGAGTGCGAGCGGGTTGGTGAGTGACACAGTCAGGTCGGCAGGCAAGTCGACACGGACGCACAGGTGCAGATACGGAGACAGATACAGCGACACACACACACACACACGTGACATGGCAGCGCACCTGTCGCCCGGGTCTGGGGAGACTGACTGGGATCCCAATCGCTCGTGCGGAGACATGAGCAGACGCGGGTTTTCGCGCTCGTGCAGCGAGTCGAGGACACCAGACCGCTCCTCACGCAATCCAAGCGACTGCTTGCATGCACACAAGGTGGAGGGAGAGGTTGTGAGTTGGTTGGGGTTGCGTAAGGGCGAGCAGAGGCGAGAAGGGCGAGCATGTGTGTGCGTGTGAGCGCGTGCGTGCGCGTGTGCGTGAGTGCATACGTGTGTGTGTGAGTGTGTGACATGCCAGCAACCTTTGTTCGGAAATGCCGCGATTCACTGCTCGTCGGTCGATCTGACAACAACAACAACAACAACAGCAACAGCAACAGCAACAACAACGACAGTGGTGGTGGTGCAGGTGCATGAATACAGACGCAAGCACGCGTGTTAGCTTGTGCAGGTGCAAATGTGAGCGTGTGTGTGCGTGACGCCTGCAGGTTAAATGCGCAAGCTTCATGTCAAGCGCACGAGCAAAAGCCCTATGCGCTCACTTTGACGGGTGTGTGCAGGCCGGGATTCAAGAAGAGACGGCGTCGATTGAGACATGAGCGCTTCACGTGTGCTGTCCATGGATGTGCTGTGCTTGAGACCGCTCAGCCGCTGGCTTCCGCGCCGATGCGACGTCACAGACGGAAGCTCAGTCGGCACCTGATAGAGGTTGAGGTGGTGGTGGAATTGTTGTGTTTGTTTGTTTGGTTGTTCGTATGGTTCGTATGAGTGCATGGGTCATCAGTGAACACCCAAGCGCCGCGCAATCACCATGGATATCATCGTGTCCATCACCGTACCCGTGCCTTGACGCTGCCTGTCCTGTTTGCTAGTCGAGATGACGTCCCGCCGTGCGACAGCCGGCCCTCCTGCCGTTGGGCAACATACGGCGTGGTGGTGTGGTGTGGTGTGTATGTGTATGTGTATGTGTGTGGTGTGTATGTGTGTTTGTTGCGACGGCGTTGTGTATGTTTGCGTATGTGTGGAATGCGTAAGATGGGGGGGGGGGTTCCTGTGAGCGATGAAGTTCATTCAATGGCCACCACAGGGGCAAGAGAATGGTCGCAGGTGAACAAACGACGCTGGTGCACGAGCGAGACAAACGGGTTGCGGAGATGTGTCGCAACGCATCGTACCTTTGCGCGGTCGCCCATCCGTCTTCGTGACAGCGGTGAGTACTGTCCGTGCACGTCGCTGGAGCCCCGTCGCGCGCCGGCAGCCTGCGCACACGAGCAACGGCAACAAGACAAGCGATACATGCATGAGAAACAAGCACGCGAGTGTCAATGCCACGTATGCATGAGAGACATGTGTGCGCCCACCGCACACAAATTTGCCATCAGCCGACACCAGCGCAACCAGCAGTGCAGGGAAATGTTGCAGTTGCATGAATGGATATCGCACCCCGAGTGTGGACGACCGCCTCGACCTCCGCTCGTTCCACGCTTGCGGTGTTGAGGAGCGCATCTGATGCACAAGAACACACACACACACACACACACACATCAGTCCGGCAAGTCAAGAAGAACAACGCCAAGCCGAGCAAGCAGCGTGTTGCAGGACCACAACATGCGCGTTGCATGACCAAACACATTTGCTATGTGGAAACGCACCTCTCGTCTTCTTCGGTTTTTCGACGTGTCTTTCGGGGCCTCTTGTTGATCACCCTCGTATGCCTGTTGTGAAACAGCAGCAAAGAACAACACGGAGAGTTGGTGTCAGACCCACCCGACTCGATTCAAACTCCACTTGCACACATGTGTGTGTGCGCGCGCGCGCGTGTGTGCAAGTGTGTGCAAACAGCAGCAAAGTGTACAAGCGCACCTCGATCAAGCCCTGCTCCTCTTGTTCTCGGCAGGAATCGATGTGAAAGTCCTCAAAGAGCATTGATAGGTCCTGCAGTGATTGCACGACAGCACAAGTAGCGAGCAACGCTGTGAGCGCAAAAGTGCACATGGACAACAAGCGCACACGCAAGAGCGACAGGAACCGCCGTGCAGTTGAAAGAGACAGCAAACGATGGCTTAACATGTGTTCATACATGTACACGGTACACAGCACGCACCCATGTGATGGGGTTGTTGATGGTGTCGAGGGTGGCGTGCGTTTCCATGACAAATTGCTTCCACGCCTGGACAAAGAATGAGAATCACGCAAACGTGAACGCACATGTGTGAATGTACGAAAAGTAGAATTGGCGCACATGTGTCCGCGAGGAAGCAGCGAGCAAACGAACAAGAGATACGAGTGCAAGACATACGAGTGCAACGTCACAGCCACACACACACACACACACACACACACACACACACACACACACACACATACATACACGCGCGCGCGCACCCACACATTCAAACATGTACAATCGCCCAACCTTGTCGCTGGCGTGGTTCGAGCCGAGAGCAGACGCAGCAGCTTCGAGTTGCCGTAACAGATGGTGATCCTGCGCACATGCACACATGTACAAGAATGAGGGGCAGCCCACACACACGAACGAACACACACGCGTAAACACACACACACACACACACAGCCCACATCATTGTGTCACGAGCAACAGGAGGAGCGCACCTTGGGCAGGACAATCATGCGTTTCATAACAGGAAGCATGCTCGCCACGCGCCGTCGCACATCCAAGATGGGATCCTATCACGATTGCAGAGGAGGCCGTGTGAGGAACAAGTGTGCACATGTGAGTGCTTGTGCGTTTGCGGTGGTGGTTGAGGCAAGAGTTGCGGTGTGCAAGCGGTGGAGGCGAGACTGATGTATGCGTGCATGCAGGCAACAGTATTGCAACACCATCAGCAAGGGCGAGTGCCTCACCTCTGTCAATGCAAGGAGCGGCTCAAAGTAAAATGTTTTGAAGAAATATCGCGAGAAGAACTTGGTCACCTGTTGTTGGAGGCATACGCACACGAAGGGAAAGAGATTGAGCAAGTAGTAGCGAGAGTGAGTGAGTGTGTGAGTGTGTGAGTGTGTGGGGGGGATGTGTGTGTGAGTGTGGGGTGTGAGTGTGTGCGTGTGAATTCGTGGGTGTGCATCAGTTGAAAGAGTGCAGCAACGCATTGCATGCTGTTGCTGCCCCTTCACGTGGCGGTTTGGTCGCACCTTCGAGCACACGTGCACGAAGCAGATCCTATGGCGCGACGTCGGCCCTGCAGCCAGTTCTGGTGTCGCCGCGTTGGTGCGCAGTGAGATGGGGTGCAGTGAGGGTGGCAGGCAGGGCAACGCAGAGCAATGCGCATAGTGGAAACAAAGGGCGAGGAGTACATGCACAAGCAGCAGAACACACACACACATGCACACATGTAGCATTTGTTACAACCCCAAACATGTGTGTGTGTGTGTGTGTGTGAGTGCGCACCTGTTGTCTGCCACTCCATGATCTTGAGCCTGATCTTGTGGTTTGGGATCGCCGCAGTCATGGCGACCAAGTTCTCGCACGCCTCCAGCATCACGGGCTCGGCGACAGCTGTCCGCACGGTGGTGATGGTGGCGATGGTGGCGATGGTGGCGGTGGTGAGAAGAAGAGAAGAGAAAAGGAGCATGCACCATGCTGATGCCGAGACCAACACCATTCAACACACACACACACGCACGCACGCACACACACACACACACACACACGCGCGCGCGCACGCACGCATACACACAAGCACGTGCAGGTTGTATACCCTGGTCTGTGAGGAGGTGCTGGAGACAGGGGAGGAGGATGTTGTTGAGTTCCTCGGGGCTGAAGACGTTGTGCGAGGCCTGCGTGTGGGACAGGAGCAGGCGGAGATGGCGCCAGTCCTCCAGCAGTCGTGGCACCGCCGCCACCACGTTGCTCAGCACGGCTGCAGGCACACATCCATGCTGCACCCCACGGCAAGCGCGCGTCCACGTGTCAATGAAGCGGTGAGCAGGAGGGAGGAGGGTGATTTGTTACAGTGCATGTCGGAGGATGCGCAAGCAGGCGCTAATTCGGGTGGGGGTATGTGGGCGAACTAATGCTCGCGTAAGTGGTGTGGTTGTGCGTGCGCATTCTCAATTCCATGCAAACGGCTCACCTTGCACTTTCGGTAAGATGGAGAAATGTAGGACTTGCAGTTGCTGCGCAGAGAGGGAGGGAGGGGGGAAGAACACAGGGAAGCGTGAGTCAACCAGGACACGCATGCGGATGTGTGAAGATGAGTGACAGGGTGTATGTAGTCGTGGTCCCACCTTTCGTTTGGTTTCTTCAGGTTGCGGAACAACACGTCAAGGTGCGTCATGATTGCAGCCATCACCCTGTTGTGGCAAATATGCAGTGGGAGCATGAGGTGAGATGGCACACACAAGCACAAGCACAACTAAACACATCCACGTGCAGTCATGCAGTCAGGCGTGTGCATGTGACACACTTGAATCACACACACACACACACACACACACACACACACACACACACACACACACACACACACACACACACACACACACACATTGAGGTAGCAGGGGTAGTCGCCAATGGATACGGTGAAGCAAGATGTGACGCGCAGCATACCGCGGGTGCGGGTCTGTGATGAGTTCGTTGACGGCCTTGAATCCCTCCGGACACACGTTGAAGCGCGGGCCAAGTGCGGTCATCACTTCGTGGAAGCTCTTGGCAACCGTCAGCCGCACGCTCACAGGACCAGACATCAGCGACAGGAACGACCTTTGTGTGTGTGTGTGTGTGGGGGGGGGGGGTATTGCGAAGAGGGGGGGGGGGAGATGCGGTATGCAGGCGTGAGCGCGTGGTCTTAGTCGTTACGCTGAGGAAATGTGCCTCTGTTGTGCCATTCTCTCCACAGGACACCGGCCAAACCACAACTGCATTGGACACCGCCACGATCATCACCACCACCAGCATCAGGTGGTACTGACCTGCCGAGTGTGGTTTGGGCAAACGGTGTTCCGTGGTTGAGGTCGTTCAGGAATTCATTTCGCGCAACAATAGCAACACCCTATCGTCGTTGTGCGCGCGTGTGTGTGTGTGTGTGCGTGTGATGGTGATGGTGACTGTGAATGGAGAGAGGGCCAATGATGCAAACAGCACTGCACCAAGAAAGAGGCCTCAATCCGACACACAAGAGATAGCACGCATGAATACACGCATGAGCACACACTCATACATACACACAAACACGCGCAAGCGATTGCACGCATGAGCACACGCGCCACCAGCGGCACGCACTGGGAAGTTGTACGCTGCCCAGCGCTGCGGACTGTCTTCGTCAATGTCCTCCTCCTCGCCGCTCATGGCAACAACATCGTCGCTTCGATCCGCGCACATGTGTGCAAACTGCTCCAGTAGCTCGTGCTGCTGCGACGCCGTGAATGCATCTGTATTTGTGCGTATGTCGTGTGTCGTGTCGTGTGGTGTGGTGTGAGTTGCGGGCAGGGTGTGTGTGGGTGTGTGCCATAACCATACTCAAACAAGCCCACATGAAGGCAGCCACACACGCACACGTGCACACGCATTCAAGCAAATCCAAGCCGCAAGCATGCACACGCACACGCACCCCATCCGTAATAGATAACAGGCCCAAAGTTCTTGCAAAACGCCTCCGTCAGCAAATCCTGTTCAGACAATGAAATGAGGAGTGAGCGAGGGGCAGGAGCGGTTCAAACAGCGAACGAACAAACGAACGAACGAACGAACGAACGAACATGTAAACAAGCAAGCAGGGACATGCGAACAATAACAGAGAGAGACATATGCATATACACGCGTGTGCACCTCGGAGTTGATGACGTTTGTGTACGCGAGGTGCAGCGGCTCGCAGGAAGCGCGAAGAAGACCTAACAAAGCACACACGTGCATGCGCGCGCAGGCATAAGAATTCCCAGCACACGCAGCCACACCAACCCCCCCCCCCCCCACGCGCGCATACAATTGTTCTCTTCTCGCACACAGACACGCACATACACACTCACACGCATACGCGCGCGCACGCACACAAGTCCACACACACACACACACACACACACACACACACACACACACACACACACACACACACACACACACACACACACACACAAACACACAAACACACCCGCATCGAGGTCTGGGAGGATGGAGGCAAGGGCGCGTAGGGCGGTGGCGCGGACGTCGCTCTCGGCATCGGAGAGGAGCGTGACAATCTGACGATGCAGACGCTGACGGATGGTGACGCTGGCAGCAGGAAGCAACAGCGCACGGGCCGCCGCCTCAACCGCCTCCGCCCGCACAGAGGGGTGGGTGTCGCTCAGCAGGCCTGCCACAAGAAGAAGCGAGGGGGGGGGGTGCTGGAGTGAATTTGATGCACAAAAGAACGTACGCACAAATAAATACATACACGCGCACGCACACATGTACACACGCACACGTGCAGTGAGACAAACGCGCCACAAGCAAGCAACCAGCGCGTACAAAGCTGAGCCCCTTCTTCTTTGAGCCGCACCTTCGACGACATCAAAGTAATCTGGGGGCAGAGAGCACGCAGCGCCGGCGCACCGGTCCGCAACGCCCTTGAGGAGCCGACACGAGAACAGTCGAGTGTCAAGCTTCTCGGTCATCCACCCAGAGGCAAGCGTCAGCGGCCACACCTGCAGGCAGGGGGAGGGGGCGTTGGTTTGGTGGTGGTAGTGTGTGGTGTGGTTGCATGCGTGAGCGAGTACGCGCCATTGGTGCGTGTCAGCGTGTGAGCAGGTAAATGGGCGTTGGATGGGTTGAAAACGGCCCTGCGTACTGCAAGGATGCAATCGAGTTTGAAGCACAGCATGTGCACACACACACTATTACACATACACACACACGCACAAGTACACGTACACACGACGGCAGTACGCACAAGCTCTGTGATGGCCTTCTGTGAGAGGGCGGGGACGTAGGAGAGGATGAGGGTCTGCCACGCAAGCATCTCATCCACAAACGTGGTGGACTTGACAGAGTCAATGAACCATGGCAGCAGACTTTCACAGAGGACGGTGTTTCCGTCCAGTTTCATGCCGGCGAGGTATGGCACGATGACAGCCTTCTCCTGGCCATTGAACGTGGAGAACGCGCCCTTGAGACACGACACCGCCCGCACCAGACACGCCGCATCCTCGGCGACGGCCTACTCGCCATGAACACGTGCATGCGTGCGTGCGTGCGTGCGTATTAGTGTTGTGCGTGTGATCATGTGTTTGTGCGTGTGCGTATGTGTGAGTGTGCGTGTTAGTGTGGATGTGTGCATGTGTGCGTGTGTGTGTGCGTGTGTGCGTGTGCATGTGTGCGTGTGTGTTTGTAAGCAGATGGCGAAGCATGACACCGAAACAAACACAGCACAAACTGCAGACCAAATGCTGTCACAACACCACCTCTCTCCCTTCCGCCGTGTGTCATCACCTGTTTCAAGAGCTCGATGGCAGCAATGAGACGAATCGGCTCCGAGTGGGCATGCTCCTTCAGGTCCCTGTGTGTGCGTGCGTTGAGAGGGGAGGGGAGAAGAAGCAAATGTATTGGTCACCGTAAGCTTGAACAGGACAGTCCCACCACCTCTGCTCACAACCACCACCACCACCACCACCACCAAACCAACCACCATCACCACCACCACCACCACGACCATCATTATCATCATCATCATCATCATCATCATCATCATCATCATCATCATCATCGTCATGAGCGGACCTGAGGAGGTAGAGGGCGCGGTCGATGCCTTGAAGCGACGTGTCCACCCGCAGCCGAGCGAGATCACCAGTATCCTGCAGCAGACACGTACAATCCCATACACGCACACAAGAGTCAGCGTAAGCGCGCGCATGCAGCAGGAAATGCCTGCATCCATTGCACTTCAACCCCCCCCCCACACACACACATACCCGCTTTGGCTTGACGCGCTTCTCGAAGCTGAAGGTGAAGACAGGATCATCGTCAAGCTCCCTGTTTGCATCGCGTAACAGCAGCAGATACAATGGCATAAGTGCTGGCGGTGTGGAAGACGTTACATTGCTGGGAGACACAAGGGACGACAGAGAGAGACAAAGACAAGAGAAAAAGAGAAAGACGCGCACACACACACACACACACGCACACATACACGCACACACACACACACACGCGCACACACACACACACACACACACACACACACACACACACACACACACACACACACACACACACACACACACACACAAAGACGCGCAACGTACTGGTCTGGGCTGAGGCCTGCCCATGCGGATGTTGGCGCTGACGTGTGTGATTTCGTCTTTGGTCCCGCCCCCGACGACTTTCGGGCGCCAGAGGCTGAGGAGGTCAGATGCCATCGCACCATCGGTTGTGTAGGTGGTGCATGGTGGGTGGTGAGACGTGTGCGTCATTCGTGCGTGCGCGTGCTTGATGGTTGTCTGTGCTGAGTTGGAGGCAAAGGCGAGAAGGATGTACACATAAAGGTGTTGTCGTTGGCACCCGCACTTACACATTGTCGGCGCAGCGTGCGTGTGTGCAGCAGCCAAAGCTGGGAGTCGCTTGCACGGTGCACGGGGAAGGAGGGTGGTGCCAATGGAAATGAGCGATGCAGGAGGGAAGGGGACACTCGGGAACGCCGACCTATATTGGGCTTCCTACGGCGTGCACCTGGGTGAGTGCACACAGATGGGGCCCCTGGCGTTGATTATGGTGAAGCAGCAACCACGGCCCCCGTATACGGCGCGGCTCTGCTTCTTCTGCAAGCTGGAAATGGCAGCAGCACGGTGAGGTCATGTGCAAGCACAAACACACACGATTACACGCACACGCACAACCGGACACTTTGGCCAAGCGTGTCTTGGCAGGAGGTGCAGCAGGAAAGGCCAGTTGAGTGGGTGGGCAACTACCTGTGTGTGTGTGGGGGGGGGACGCACGATCTGACGAAAGGAGGATCACAGGAACGTTCGCCGAGCTGGTTGCGAGAAGAGCAGATTGAGAGTTGGCGCATGCAGACACACGCAGAGACACCCGCCCACGAACAGACAGGCAGAACCACGCGATAGCACAAGCACACGAGCTTGTGAGATGTGATCGAGCAGCAACAAGGGAACACGAGCGGCAGAAATGGGGCACGCAACGCCGCGCACGCCAGCTTGTATGCTCGCGCGTGGTTGTGCGCGCAACAAGTAGGTGTGCGACGCCCAAACAACCCCCTACCACCTCGTGCAATCAACGAGGCTCGTTGTGTGCCCCAACACTACCTACTTTCGCTTCCGATGTTGTTGTTGTTGGGGTGGTGCTTGCTTGCTTGCTTGGTTGGTTGGGCGGGAGAGGGAAACAGGCAGGGGTACAATGCTGTGCCTTCCTACGAGCGAGCAAGCGTGACTGTGGATGATGAAAGTTGTCCGTCGGCGAGTGCAGGGTGTGCGTCACCAGGGCGGGCGTCCATGTGCGTGCCTGTGCAGGTGGGAGGTGGCAGGCTGTGCGTGTTGTGTTGTGTTGTGTGGGCAACGAACACGCAGCAGAAGCAGACACGGGCAAATTCCAGCAACGAAAACACACACACGCAAGCAAACAAAGAGAAGAAGAGGAAGAAGCCGAAGAGAGGAAGACGTGTGTGTCTGAGCAGAAGCGCAGTCATCTTCACGCACGCCACATACCACGGCGCACACGTCGCACACGTCGCACACGTCGCACACGGCGCACACGGCGCACACACACACACACGCGCGCGCGCCTCACACACACGCCTCGGACGGACGGACAGACAGACAAACAGCAGCGTTAGGGTTAGGTGGTGTTGTGGCACCAGTCACAGTCGCGGAGATGGAAGAACAAGGGGCTTTGTCGCAGACGCAAAGCAGCTGCAACACCCGTGACGCAGGTGACGCACCACGAAGCACAGAGCAACAGCAGGGCAGTGCCAAGACAGAAGCAGCATCTGGATGGAGCAACCCGCTGACACAGCAGGAGCAAGGACAGGAGCAGGAGCAAGGGCAGGAAGAGAACGGGGTGACTGCGCTGTGGGACGCGTGGAAGCAGGAAGACTGGTCCAACGAGGCAGAGGAGGATGAGGCAGCGGACGCTGGCGACCACGAAGATGAAGAGAGCAGCAGCTCGAGCAACACTGGTGAGAGCAGCGAGACCAAGGAAAAGGTTGCCTCTCCTTCACAAGCGAAGCAAACAGACAGCCCCGCCGACGACGACGGTAAGGTGGTGGCGGCGGTGGATAGGATTCCGGACACCCATGCAGACCAAGGGCGCGATCAAAGCCCCATTGAGCAGCAGCAGCAGCCACCGCCACAAGGTGACCGGTCTGACGAGTCTGAAGCGGCTGCACCGCCCAAACTCCGTCTCAAGCTCCGTCTTCAAAAAGCGCCATCCAACGAAGTACGTGTGTGTGTGTGTCTGTGTCTGTGCGCGCATGTGTCTGTGTGTGTGTGCGTGTTTGTGTGTATGTGTGTGTCTTTCTGTGTGCGCATGTGTTTGTGTGTGTGTGTCTGCATGTGTATGCCTTCCCCCTCCCCTTCTCTCTTTCTGTCTGTGCCTCGGTTTCCATGTTAGAGTGGCTGCTCTCCTCCACCACCACCACTACTCTCACGTCATTGCCGTGTTCTGTAGACCGACGACACCAGCACACCAGCACCAGCACCAGCAGCAATAGCAGCAGCAACAACGACACCAGAAGCAACAAAAGCACCAGCACCAGCACCAGTCCCAGCGCAAGCGACGCCCGCTGCACAGGCCATGTCGGCTGCTTCGGCCCCGGCCGCTGCGGAGCTGTATTGCACCTGCAGACAGCCGTACGACGGCGTGTCGTTCATGATCGAGTGCGACGCATGCCGCGAATGGTTCCACGGCAGGTGTGTGTGTGTGTGTGTGTGTGTGTGTGTGTGTGTGTGTGTGTGTGTGTGTGTGTGTGTGTGTGTGTGTGTTTGTGGGGAGGGGGTTTCGAGCGCCCTCCTTGCCTGTGTGCATGCGTGCATGTGTGCGCGCGCGTGTGTGTCCGCCTTCGCTCACGCTCCATCTCAACGGGAATGCTGGCAGGTGCGTCGGTGTTGAAGCCGCCAATGCCAACTACATTGACGCGTACATCTGCCCCAAGTGTCAAGCCGCAACAGGACGCGAGACAACCTGGCGTACGTGCTTTGTGCCTGCGCGTTTGCTTGCATTCGTTTGTGGATGTGTATGCATGTATATGTATGCGTGTGCCTGTGTGTATCTGTCTGTAATTGTGACAATGGCGCTTGTTCTTGACATCCATCCGTACATGCCCCCCCCCAAACTCCTGTTGTCGCTACCACGATGGCGCCCCACCAGTGCACCGCCCTGCGGACTGCGGCAAGCTCCTGCGCCAGCGCCACTACGTCAACTACAACATCACATCAGACCCGCTGGTACTGTCTCGTGTTGCCTGCGCATCAGTCCAATTGCCTGGTTGTCGGTGTACTGCTGCCATCACGTGTCCACAACACCGCTCAGGCACATACGCACACGCACACACACACACACACATTCGCACACACACACACATTTACACACACATGTACAAACTTTCGCACCTCACACACACATACACACACAACGCATACACACACTCACAACACATTGTCTCACCCTCTCCCTCCTCTCTGTTGTGCTCAGGATGTGTTTGATCGGGTGGACTACGTTGCGCGACTCAAGAAACGCGACAAGCGGTTCAAGAGGTGCGCCGCCTTCCATGTACCACAACTGCACAGCTTTCACACAAAGACATTTCACACACACACACACACACACACACACACACACACACACACACACACACACACACACACACACACACACACACACACACACACGCACACACACACACCCATTCACACACACACACACACATTGTCTGCCTGCCAATTGCCCCCCAGTCCTCACCCAAAGTCCTGCTTGATGACGCGGGGTTGTGTTTGTGCGTATGTGTATCCATGACAGCGCCGACGAGGTGATGGAGGTGGTGGAAGATGGGTCCGCAGTGCCAACTGAGCACTTCTGGAACACAGGCTTCAAGCGTCCAAGTACGTTCCTTTTTTTTTTTTTGTGCGTATGTGTGTGCGTATGTGTGTGTGTGTTTGGTTTAAGCATTGCGTTACGTCCTCACCGTGCTGCCATGCTGCCCCACCTCTCACACATCACACACGTGTTCGCACACGTCCACATTCCGTGTTGTAATATCAGTCAAAGTGAAGACTTCCAAGTCCCTTGGTCTCAGAATAAGCCCAGACATGTCATGGGAAAAGGTACAGCTCACACACGCATCTGCACCTGCACACACATTCTGCAAGCAATTGCTTCCCGCTCGTGTATTAACTTGGTGCACGCACCCACGCCGCACGCACAACACCACCACACTTCACGCCAAATCGCCCCTTCCTTCCTCACCACCACCACCACCACCACCACCACCACCATGTCGACCACATCAGGTGCGCGATGCTGTCGGGGCAGCGTACCCGATTGCGGTGATTGACGTGGCGACGCAGCGCACTCTCCCCGGCACCGTCCAACTCGGCGACTGGGTCGAGTACCTCAGGTCTGCTTCACACACAGCACCACCGCCATCTCTGATGATTGCAGCCAACCCGTTGGTCTCATGTGCGTGTGTGCGTGTGTCTGTATCCATGTGTGTTTGTCTGTTTAAATGTGCGTGTGCGTGCGTGATGAGCAAACAGTGCATACACTGTGCATGTCGTTGTATTGTTGCGTGGGTTGTCACATCACATGACCTCACCTTCCATCAACGCAACTTTGTTTGTTGCCGCCACCCACGTGCGTGCTGCCCCCCTCCCCTTTGTCATGACAGGACGCCAGCGCACGAGCGAAAGCGGACACTGAATGTGATCAGCCTAGAGTTTTCGTCCACCACGCTGCGGGAGCACGTGCTCGCACCACGGCCCGCCCGCGACCTCGACTGTATTGACACCTGCTGGATTGACGATCCTACAGGCGCCGTCGGCAAGCCACAGGTGCAGTCACACGTGACACACACACGCACACACCACAAGTCGTCACAGAAGAGGACATGCACACGTTCTTCCTCTCACTCCTTTGCGCGTGCTCGCGTGCGTGTGTGTGTGCGTGTGTGTGCGTGTGTGTGTATTACAGGTGCAGTACTACTGCCTGATGGGCCCGAGTGGCGCCTGGACAGACTTCCACATCGACTTTGGCGGCACTTCCGTCTGGTACCACGTGTACAAGGTGCGCACCATTGCTCCTGTGGAGGGGGGTGGGTGGTGAGCGTGTGCATTTGTGTGTGTGTGTGTGTGTGTGTGCATTTGCGTGTGTGTGTGGTGAACACTCGTTTATACTCATTTGTAATTGCTCTCTCTCTCTCTCGCTCGCTCTCTCTCTCTCGCTCGCTCTCTCTCTCTCTGTTTGACGTGCCTCATGTGTTCCAATTCATTCGACGCCTCTTGCGTCCACAGGGCCAGAAGGTGTTTTACTTCATTGAACCGACCGAAGAGAACTTGGCGAAATACGTGCAGTGGACCAGCGATCCGCACCAGAGCAAGGTGCGATTCCACACTGTCCTTGTTCTGTGCACACACACACACACATACGCACACACACTCTCTCTCTTGCTTGTGTATGCGTGTGCGTGCAAGTGTTTTGTGTTCATGAAACAAAACTGCGTCCACCTCATCGTGCCCAACTTTCGATCCTCTTCGCATGCGTGTGTATTTGTGTGGTGCAGAAATTCCTTGCTGACAACGTTGACGCGTGCTACAAGTGCATCGTGAACGAGGGAGAGACACTCCTCATTCCATCTGGTGCGTGCAAGTCAACAGTCATTTTGGCTGTGTGTGTGTGTGTGCCAACATTCTTTGTTTTGCATGTGTGTGTGCTTTTGTGTATATGTGAATGTGTTTGTTTGCATGCCACCGCCACCATCACCGACTGTCCCTCTCCTTCTTGTTCCTCCTCTTCTCTCTCTGCCCCTCTGCATATGTGTATCGGTATTTCCCGGCCCTTGTGCTCTTCCGCATTGTGCGCTCTGACCCCACTGCCGCTGCCGCTGCTGCTGCCTCTGTGATGATGTTTCTTCAGGGTGGATCCACGCTGTGCACACCCCGCAGGACTCGCTCGTCTTTGGTGGAAACTTCCTCCACTTCCTCGCCCTTGACATGCAGCTCAGGTACTCGCACGCACGTGTGTATGTGTGTATGAGTGTTTATGTGTGTGTGTTTTGTGTGTATGTTGCTGTGTCTGCTCTGAATACGTGTGCATGTTTCTCTGTGTGTCCTGTATGTGGGTTTGTATGTTTCTCTGTGCGTTCTATGTGTGCAGGTGTGATTGTGGGTGTTCAAGCCTGCATCATACATTCCAACTTAAACGTCGAACCACGTGCATGCATATCTACATTTGACACCCATCGCTGGGCAGGGTGTATGGGATTGAGCGACAGCTGGCTGTTGACGGGCTGTTTCGGTACCCGCACTTTGAGTGGACAAGCTGGTGCATGGCAAACCACATCGCGCAAACCCCTTGGTGTAAGTTGATGCGTGCTGGGCGTCTGATCTTCGAAATCCACGCATCTTTGTTCCTTCGTGCATGCGGCTGTTCCCCTTGGCGAGCACGAGCACGTACACACGCTTACAACTTCCCGAACTTCACCCCCTCATCCTTGCGACCAACCAACCTTCCATCCAACTAACAAACGCCATTACCCACGATTCCATCTTGACAGCGCCGCAGGAACTGTCTGCCCTCCAGCCGGGCATTCACACACTCGTCTCCGCGCTCAAGCGCTGGCTCAAGAGCAAACACAACGCACAGAAGCCGCCGCCATCCATCGACGCCACACACGTGGTGCGCAATCTGTTTGTTTGTGTGTGTGTTTATGTGTGTATGTGCATGTGTGTGTGTGTGATGGGTGTGCAGGATGTACGAATTCGGTTGTGTGCGTGTGTGCAAATATGAGCGCGCTCGCTTGCTTGCAATGCGTTGAGATATGCGCTGGTGCGATTGTGGCATGACAGCTCACCGACAACCTGTCCATCCCTTCCTGCTTCTCATCACGAACGAACCACCCACCCACCGCAGCTGACGCGGCTGCAGGCGCTGGAGGGCGGGGCAGCACGACCAGCGCCCGTCACGCTCAAGCTGAAGATGAAGCCTGTGAAGCCACCACCATCACCCCCATCAGCATCGTCATCGGCTGTGGTTGATAGCGGTACGGGAACACGTGTTGGTGCGAATGGTGGCAATGCGAACACGACGACAACAACGACGATGGGTGACCGTCCGCTCAAGCTCAAGATGAAGATGAAGATGAAGATGAACGAGGATGGTGATGGTGGTGATGATGCATCGGGTGCCAGTGCAACAGCCACGACAGCGCCGAAGGTGAAGCTGAAGATGAAAGCACCACGACGGCCCAGCCGTGATGACGATGATGGCGATGATGGCGACGGTGATGGACAGCCACGAGCGAAGATGGCCAAACATGTTGCTGGGCCGGGCACAACAGCAGCGAAGACACCGGAGAAGAAAACGTCGAAGCAACCCGGTATGCTTTGCTGGTTTGTGCGCATGTGTTGGTGATGTCGCTTGCGTATTTGTACTGCTGGTTCGTACGACATGCAGGCAAACAACCTTTTGCCACACCTGTTCACGTGGTGCTTATTATGTGTCAACTCTCATTCACATATGTGTGATTGTGAACGTGTGGTGTACGTGGGTGTGCAGGAGGCAAGGCAAGGGCAGCAGCTGTGAGTGCGGGCAAGACGACGGTGAAGAAGAAGAAGGGCAAGCGTCTCACGCTCATGCAGCGTCTCAACAGGATGGGGAGGAGATGAGGCTAAGCGACCAAAGGACAACTAAGTGCCTGCGTGTTCATATATGTGTGTGTGTGTTCACATGTGTGTATTCATGTGTGTGTGTGTGTGTGTTTCGCGCATCGTGCTGCTTAATGGCCCACCACTCCCGCGCTTGTTTCATACGATGGCTTGCAGCTCTGTGTCTTCAACACGCTGCAGCTTATGATTATGCCAACATTAGACATCCGCAAGGGCGGGCATGTGCATGCCACCTGTGTGATCACATCCATCCCATTGCCATACACACACACACTTGTCGTGGCATTTCATTGAGGGATGATGATACATGGTGGACAAGCAAAACACCCGGCGCGGTGCGCGGTTGTGAACAAGCATGGACAGTAACACAAGGAAGGAGATAAGTGGCAGTGGAGAAGTGGAGGGGGAGCAAAAGGAAACAAGACGGCGAGAGGAAAACCAAGGCGAGAAAGGTAGTTTGGCTGCTGCAGGTGTCAGCCAACGGGGCGCGCGAACGTGCGCTGGTCATGTCATGTGACGTGGACATTGGCGTGCTCACGGGTACCAGTTCTTGTCCACACCGGCGCCGCAGAGGCTGGTGGTGCCGGCAAACTGCTTGATGGAGGGCTTGCTCCAGCCGCCAAACGCGCGGAAGTCAGAGAAGGACGCAGAGCCGTCTATGTGTGGGCAAAACAAAAAGAGGGGGGGTGGTGGTAGGGAAGTGGTGAGTGAGAATAAGGCGGGTCGTATCTTGTGCGAGTGCAAGTGCAAGTGCGTAGCATGGTGATGGTGTGCATTTGGAGCAAAGGGCGTTGCAAGAAGTGGCACGACGCGATCGCAAGAAATGAGTGCACAGGTGTTGTGAAATCAAGTGGCCACAGCTGTGGCTGCCATGCGGCCCCGTGTTGCTCAAGCCATGGACTTACCGTAGTGGGCATACCACAGCGGGAACGCGGAACCGCCGCTCCAGTCGCCCATGATTGGCGACCACTGGGACTCACTGTGTGTGTGTGTGTGTGTGTGTGTGTGTGTGTGTGTGTGTGTGCGCGCGCGTGTGCGTGTGTGCGTGTGTGTGTGTGTGTGTGTGTGTGTGTGTGTGTGTGTGTGTGTGTGTGTGTGTGTGTGA